GTCATATTTTCTCAACATAATTTTATATAGATAATTTTTGGAGTGTACATGTGTAATATGTATAAAAAATAAAAAAAATTAATATAGAAAATAGCCCATAAATACACCGTATATATTCACGTCTTTCACAAACTCGTAAAGAATGTTTTATCCCCTGAGAGAGGAAGAAATACTCCAAATTCTCCGCCAACGTAAATTACAAATGAATGACTTCAAGCAAAGCCGCCCGTCTGTGTGGGAAGGTCTTCAACTATTCCATAAGATGACTGGATTGTAGTGTTTGTTTTGTGTTTTGTGTGTTTGTACGATATTGTGTTTATCACATAATTCAAGGTACGAAATAATCTGGTAATAAAATGCAACACACACTGCTTCTCACTTCATAAATACCCGAGATCGATGCCCTTCACTGCCTGGGTATTGAGAGTGCCCAGATGACCACACATATTGATCTATCTTCATTTTTTCATATATTACAGCTGATATATTGTATCCCGAACGCACTTTTTTCAATAATTAAAAAGAACACTATACCAACCAATCACAGCCATTCTAACAAATACAACACTGGAACAACCAATCACAGCCATCCTAACAGATACAACACCAGAGCAACCAATCATACCCGTCCCAAGATATGACGTCAAGGTGGCTGGTCAGGGAGAAAAGTTTACATTTTAGGGAGAAAGGGGAAGATTTTTAATGTGGGTTGACAGTGTTGTTTTACTCGTATTCATGTACACTTTACAACTCCTTTTGTCATGCACACGACCTGTCATGTACACGACCTATCATGTTCACATTTGTCAGATACGCAAGTTGTGACCTCATCCGTTTATGAGGTTTGAGTAGCCGTGGTCTGAAGCTCTCTCTCTCTCTCTCTCTCTCTCTCTCTCTCTCTCTCTCTCTCTCTCGCCATGGTGTGGGCAGGTTGATAGAGACCAAAGCTGACACTAATTTAATAACACCATTTAAATATGGATGAAGAACTGCGCCCGAGGAGTGAGTGAGTGTAGATAGATAGATAGATAGATAGATAGATAGATATATATAGACAGACAGAAACACACATGGACTCCAGACAGGGACATTCAGACAGACAAACAGATGGACACAGACAGTAAAAATGAGACAAACAAATGGACTTACAGACAGACAGACAGACAGAACGGCAGACACAGACAATTAAATGACAACCAAACAGATGCAGTTGAATAAATAAAAAAAATGAGTAAAGTAAAAGAGTAATAAAGTAACGAAATAAAGATAAGAAAAGGAGGAGGAGGAAGGAAGAGGTTTTATCTTGGGAGGATGCTGGGAGAGGCGAGCGAGAGGCGAGGGAGAGGCGAGCGAGAGGCGAGTGAGAGGCGAGCGAGAGGCGTGCGAGAGAATAGTTATAAAAAGAAAGAATAGACGAAGAAGAAAAGGGGAATAGAGAAAAGATAAATAAGAGATGAAGAAGAATAAGGATAATAAGATAGAGATCACGAGGGGAAGGAAAGACTCAACTACCTTACCCATTCACCCACCGTTCAGAGCCCAGCGATGGTCGTTGTCAAGTCAGTCAGAAATTTAGATCGACATTTCCTAAAGCTCTCCCCAGTTCCTCGCATCCGTTAATATCCAGAGGTGTGGGAGTATATGTATAACCCATAGCTTGGTATTAGGTTTGTTGTTATATACTTGCTGTAGGTGTTGTATGTATATGGTGTATCTAAAATGGTGTATGTTTGTGTGTCCGTGCCAAAGTATACATCTGAATGTCTGTGTGCGCATCAGAACAAACATTGACTACGAAATACCTACAGTATACTCGTATGTACGGTAAAGTGTCTGTCTGGGGTGTGGATCTGTCCCGGGGTGTTATATAATAGCTCTGAAGTAGCTCGTGTCAACACCTGTCACAGCCGCCCACTGTTGACCGGGTGAAATTATTCGGTATTGTCGTGCGAGATATCTCTCTCTCTCTCTCTCTCTCTCTCTCTCTCTCTCTCTCTCTCTCTGCTTTCGTTCGTTTATTCAATTCAATTTCAATTTCAATAGTTTATTCCTTGATAGAGGAACCGGGGTCCTCGTGCTGTCGCTAGGTACCCCTGTACAATAACACCAGAAGCATCTGGCAAGTGTCACAAGTATATACAGTATGAATATTATAAAGGGGCTTACTAAAGCCTAAGGAAGGAAGGATATTCCTTTAACACATAATCAATATTATTTACATAATATCTGGCCAGTATGGGGAGGATCATCGTGTCTCCGTCAGGGGGTCGTGGAGTGGGTGGTCCAGCAGGCGTCACGAAAGCGTTGTTAAATTTGCCTTTACATATACTGCATTCTTCTGTTTTATATTCTGTTTTGTCTGCTGTAGTGTCTTGTATTTTTAATTATTTCTTCTGTGTTTGATAGTGCTTTTATTTTTAGTGTTTCCTGAATGTGTTCACTTCATCTTGTGATCTGTGTTTAATAGCGTAGTTTGATGAATATATTTTCTAATTTCATTGTCGAAGAAGTTTCTCTATTTTGGGTATTGTTAAATCACTCATCACTTCGTAGGTGTGTCTTTTAGCAAATTTTGTTTTCGCTTCCCTCTCCACCATTTCTTTCCAACCAATCTACTGAGAGAACTTGTGGTTGCATATCAGTTTCATGTCTATCTGGCAAATATATCCTCATCTCTTCCCTAATTGGTGGCGTTTAGGGATTGTTGTTATTGTTAATATCGAAATTTCATGGAATTCGTGTCTTATATCTTTGGTTTTGTTAGCAACAGTCCCTGCTTTTCATAAAATGTTCATCGCGCGTGAGAAACTTTCGTCAAGTGGAACCTCACCTCACTTCTTGGTCATTCTTGTTAACTTACCATAAACTAAACACACACACTGCATGTTTGATTTTGACGTTTTTCTCTGCTCTATTACCACCACCTCTCACTGCCGCAGTATTATCATCCCTAGTTTCCCTATTTTCGCAATTTCGTCAAACTACCTTTTTTTTCCCACTGGCATTTTTTCGTTCATTTTTATCCAATGTTTTTTCACGTCCTATTAATTTTTTATTTCCTCTTTTTCCATCATATCGCTTTATTTTCTTCTCTTTTCTGGCGTATAATTTTTACCTTTCCCTTGTCCATCCTGTCACATTTTTCATTTTTTTAATGTGTGTGTGTGTGAGAGAGAGAGAGAGAGAGAGAGAGAGAGAGAGAGAAGAGTGCATATGGGAGAGTGATGATTGAGACGATATATCTGAAGGAACGGTAGTGAGGGTAAATGTAAATTACACTACAAAACGCAACATGAAGTGAGAAGAGAAGAAATATGTTTGTGACAAAGCAGAGATGAAACACAAATGTGAGATAATTATACAAGTAAGGATTATCTGCATAAATGACAGGGATGAGAAATAAGTAGATTAATGTAGAAAATCACCGTAAAACAAAGATGATGAGAAATTTGCAAAATGTGTAGGATGAGAACAAAGATAAATATGGCAAAGGTATTTATCCTCATTAGATTTGTATATGAAATAATAACGAATAATCCCAATAATAAATGTACATGAGATTTTGAGAGATAATAAGATATGAAACGTTATGTAAAAAGATGTGTGTGGTTGGGTTAACTGTGTCGTGGTGGTGTGGTTGACAACTAGTATCTTTTATAATATCAATCATTTCCAGAGTTTTAGTTTATGTAAATGACAACACAAAATATTCTCTAAAATTGGTCAAAAGGTTGTTGGTGGCACAGCGGTAACGCGCATAACTCTCACCAATATGTCAAGGGTTCGAGCCTCAGCTCAGACACACGTGAGAGGGGTGTTATCCAGTGTAACCTTGATTTTTCTCTTCATAACTAAATGTCATACGAGTAATCAAACTTTTTACCTTCACAGTACCCCCCCCCCCCACCCCCTTTAATGTGCACAGTGATTCCAGCAGTCTTGCCATCTGTATAAAGAACCTCTAACATTCTTCTTTCAGGACAGCTATCAATTTTTCTTATCACATTTTGTATGATCTGCGGTACTTCCTGGAGGCTTTCATATTAAAGTGCTATTCAGGTTGAGAGTCAGGAAAATACGAGTGTGAGGGAAGGAATTTTATTAATCTGATTATAGGTACCTAGAGACATAAGTGAGAGATTGGAGAGAGAACGAATGAGAGGGAGAGGTGAGGGAAGCTGAGAGGATAGGAATTTGGAAGAGGAGAAATAACTGAGAGAGAAGGTGAGGGGGAAAGTGGAGGCAGAGGGGTGGGTGAGTTGGTGTTTATATCTCAATAGTCGAACCACTAACAGATAGTTGGTCAAGACTTACTGCTGTTCGTCTGCCCTTCCTCCCTACCTACTTCAATTAATCTCCCTTCCTACTTGTTACTCTCTCTCTACTTTAATTATTCTCCCTCCCTTTGTTACTTTCTACCTCTGTTAATCTCCCTACTTCAATGATTATCCCTACATCTGTTACTCTCTCTCTCTACTTTTTTAATCTCCCTAATTCAGTTTTCTTTTTGTCTATTTTTCTCCCTCTGTTTCTCCTTATCTCCACCTCATTCTTTTATATCTTGCTGTCCTTCCCTAAGTTATTATATAACCTCTTTTCTCCTCCTTTCTTTTTCTATTTCTCTGTGTTGCTTCCTCTAACATTCTTTTTCTGTCTCCACACACTTATTGTTTCTCCCTATTCATCTCATTCGCCATCTCCTCTTTATACCAGCCTTTCTTCTCCCCCATTTATCATTCTATCTCCATTCTCTCTCTTGCTTTCTCATTTCTGTCTCTCTCTCTCTCTTTTCCCATCAATCTCCCTTTCTCTTATTCATGATTAAATCGGCTTATATCCTTTTGCTTGGCGATTTTCTTCTGTTTACATTATATTCAAACTTTATCATGGCACCAAGCAGACCAAGATTAACAATCTTTCAAGAATGTGCAGAACCACAAACACATCAATCATATTTTTTATTGAAAGGTTACATACCAGAAGCAGTAAAATAACAGACACTTGTTTTAGAACACTTTATTTGTCATTGACTGGGGTGGGACTTCATTTAGCCGTGTTTATGGGATAACCATGCATGTGGCCCGCCCCTCAAGCACGGATAACCAAGTCTCTAACCGTACTGTTAGGGGTGCTACACATAAATTTACTTCTTCAAAGATCATTACAACACCAATGTGAGAAATATTTAAACTTTTTTTTATATATATAACAGCAGTGTCCAAATTTGCTAGTGTCCAGTAATTCTTGTCTCTCACTGAAGGATTACTTAACAGCTGACTAAACTTTACTTATGATGAATATTTCTATTGACTGTTGGAGTGAGGCCTTCAGCTACCATGCCATTAATTTTAGTTTAAAGGATTTTATGTGGACACCCCTGTTTTAACAATGTCTGCTCTATGAACAGTATGAATCAGTCTTGGATAATGAGAAATTACTCTTGAAGCAAAAACAATTACTGTACTAAATTATACAGACAAAAAGATGTACTAAATAACATACAGTAGACATAGAGTAAACATATACAACCATGTATCATTTCTGCATAGAATGGAGACTGGTTTCTAACTTACAAATTAACAATGAACTCATCTGAATAAAAAATTATCAAAAATAAAGAGAAAAGTAAAGTTATCAACAAACATATTGTTTTGTTTTTTGTTTTTTACCTATCATGGGCATCTTAAGTGTGTCTTCATTATCAGCATGGAGATGAAATAATTACAGTACACTCACCCACAAAAGACCTGTTGCCTCTCCTGAACAACAAACCCCGGGATTCAGACTCGTGAACCCGAAGCGTTAGACAGCAATGCATTTTTCTATCCATAAATGTTTCAGAATCTCAGGGTTCATGGTTCAGGAGGAGAGTCGGCAGAGCTTTTGTGGGTGACTGTACAATCATATGCACTTAATGGGATGAAGAAGCGCAAAACTTCTAGTTGGATGAATATGAAAATCATTTACTTCACAAACACCAAATATTACCCAGTAAGTTATGCAACAACCAAAACTATCACTCATAACCAATGACTCCCCTATGAGAAAGTCACAACTAAGAAACACTGTAGATCTCATCACAAGAAAACAAGTAAAATTGCATCAATAGTTTTTAATGTGGAATGACTTTTGACACCACTGCAGTCAACACCATCTGGGATATTTCACATGAGCCACATTATCCAACATCTGGGATATTTCACATGAGCCACATTATCCAACTGCAGTCTCTTATAATCAGGACTAATATTCAACACAAGTGAGAGTCCTTACATAATGTGGGGGGGAGAAGGCAATTTGTACAGACTATACAGTACAACAAATCACTGTAATTATGCTTTTACTTTGCTATATATATACATGACATTTCCTTTAATATACAGAAATAGCCCACATTGACTCTCCTCTATACACCACAGAGTTATTTAAATACTTGTATTAATAAACCTCTCCCCACAAAAAATAATAAGAGATCTTTAAGCATTACTTCCAGTTCTACCATTACTCTTTTTCCTCTTGAACAAACTTATTCTATATACAGGAAAGGCTTACACAGACTTAATAATAATGTTAAAATCATATAGGCATGTGTGCAAGTTATTAAATAAAATATTGATATTTTTAAAATAAAAGTGGGCAAGGGAAACATCAACAAAAATACATACTGTACATCTTTTTCTAATTATGGTCAGATTTGTATTCAGTAAAACTCTTACATCAGTTTCATATTATAGTACTATACTATATATCACTGAGCAGTTTATTATTTTGTATATAAAATAATGTTTCAGTGTCTATCAATAGTAGGACCCCCAACACATCTGACTCTATTCACCATAAATATTTTAAAAAATCTGAAAAATCCAGCATCAGTCCAGACAGTTTGTGTACGTATGTGTGGTTGAACGCTTGTGCAGGGATGTTGTGCATGGTACGTGCCTCATTCTAAGTCCTGACTTCATATACAGTATACCATTCCTGGAAACAAATTCTTACCCCACTAGTGGCCACAGCCTCAAGTTGAAGAAGCCACAAGTTCAGAAAACTGTCAGGGCAAACTTTTTTTTGGAGTGAGGGTTGTAAATTCTTGGAACAATCTGTCAGTGTTGAGATTGTAGAGATACATTTTGGAGCCATTACATGTCCAATACTGTACTGTACTTACCAACAGTGAGTAACAGATATGTGACCAACCGCCCAAGTGGCTAATAAACCGATCAGTGGCAAAAAAGATAAAGTAAAAAATATAAGTACAGTACATACTATCTTTAACAGAGAGATTTGAGGGTTTTAAGAAATTGGTATAATTAAAAAAAAAATCTTATGAGAAGGACAACACTTACTCACTAAATCTGTAAGGTGGTCTAATCAGATTTTCTGTAGGCCTAACGAGCTACCAAATACAGAGATAGACACTGCATATGTAAACAGGCTGGGAATGGACCAGGTGTTGTCACATTCACCAGGTTTTTTTTTATTGATTCATAAATATATTTTCGTATGATCAGCCTCTTGTGGTGTATGACTCTCCATAAATGTTACAACATCTTCAATAACATAAAAACATACAATACTGTAGAGGTATCCCCCAATTTACGATCTCCCTAACTATGATATTTCACTTGAACAATGGTGATGTATTAAGACCACCCCCCCTATTTACGATCAAAATATTCACATGAACAATGTTCATCTTCCGGCCAACTCGGAATATCAAACACATTTCTTGCTGCACCTGTCAGCTGCGGCCTACCTGTGCACCGCCACACAGCCACTACAGTCCCAAGCTTTGTTCCATGGTGATTGCACACACCCCTGTGATCGTGTAGCTCAACGATAATTATCGGTCAGTGTCGGTGTTACTTTTCATCAATTTTTGTTTTTATACTTTATAATGAATGGACATCACTAACGTTCACATTATACATTGTACTCTGTTTTGGTGACTGTGAAGTCATTTCTGCTATGTTTTTTGTGACTGTAAAGTGCTTTGCCTCTGTTGTTGTGGAAATGATGTGAGCAGTGTCGGCCGCTATCATTGTTTTTATGTTATCATTGTTCGCTCTGTTTTTGTGACTGTGAAGAGAGCAGTGTACCCTATAACTTTGAAAATGTCTGGGAAGGCCAGGAAAATTATGTCTCTGGAAGTTAAGCTGTGTGGGAATCAGAGTGAGATCTCCACTCCACCTTTAAGAGTCCCCTTAGCCTGGAAGGGGACATGTGATGATGACCAGGCTTGTTCTTAATGATTTGGTTAGTGTTGTAATTTGACTTGACTAAAAGGATAAGTTGTATCAAAGATGATGCCTCACTCCTTCCTCCCATAATATAGTAAGCTAGGAAATTTCCTTTAAGACAGAAGACATTTATTATGAGAAATAAAACTAAAGTTATTGGGATCAAATTATTTCCTGTACTGTATATTTTTTTTACCCTTTTCATTTTAAAATACTGTACAGTAATAGAGACTGAGACTTGATAGGGCTTGTTTTATGAGGAATGAGGATTTGAGTTGTAACAACGATGTCGATACTTGCCCCTGTCCATGTACGGTTGATCAAAAAACTATCCTTACAAAATTGTATTGGACACTATGACACAATGGACAAAGGATTTTGGCAACCTAACCAAGACAACAGGAGTCACAGTGTTCATTTTAAAATTCATCGACCCTAAGTACAGATAGTTTTTTGATTGTCTGTACATCCCAAACACAGGTTTCCTCAGATGGTTATATTTTTTCCAATAATCATAAAAAACAGGTTTATGGGCATGAGGCATCAATATGGTGAGGGCAAAAACTATCAAATTTCAACAAACCCCTCATGCACGTGTTGGTGACAAATTCATTCCCAGTACACACATATTGACCCTGATGCCTTTCTACAAAACTCACTGGGTTACACCAACCCCAACTGTAACTATTACTTCCTGACTCAATTGAGTTTAGCTCTAGTCTCTTGCTACCTCATTTCTTCTCTATAATGAGCCATAATTCAGTATCAGCAGTATTCCCCTTCACCTAGAAACCTTTATAGATGTATATAACTTCTATTGTCCACAAATTTGATGTACCCTGTATTTGGGTTCTGAGACCAAACTCTCTAACGATATTGAACACATGTATAACATACCTAATTATACTAGACACTGTCAATACGTCACAACATAGTGATGGTGTTGCGCTCTATATTAATACTAAGTACAGTATAAAACTTTTGGAAGAGCTAATTTAAAAGTTCAGGAGTTCATGGGGAGTTTTTTCACTGAAATCTGTATTGACAAACGAAATAATCTGGTAGGAGTAATTTACATAAGGCCCCATACCACTGTAAAGAACTTTCTTGATAAATTATCGGAACTAATCTCTATCATAAGTTCCGAGAGGAAACTTTCCTACACTACAGGAGATTTCAACCTGGATCTACTAAAATTAAAGATGGAATTACCTCAGTGATAGACCTTCTTGCTACCTGTCATTCTAAACTCTTCTTCAACACAATAACTAAACCCACCAGAGTAACTGTCAATCTTGCGAGTAGAATTATTTATAGCAACATTTCCGATCACTTCCCAGTTTTTACCATGTATAAAACAGCAGCAAAATTTGAAGGGACTAGTAAAGTCACAATAAAATACAAAGACCATGATGACAATAATCTCTTGTTAAAAAACAACTTAATGAATACTAAGTGGGATCTTGTCAACATCTCCAACAACCCTAATGTGATCAGCTGCAACTTCTCCTGCATCCTCAATGATTGCTTTGATAAATGCTTCCCCTTGAAGACTAAGTTTGTAAAAAGTATATCTATCTCCAAGTCCTATACAATGTTACAACTGAAATTAGGGCAATAATAATAATAATAATAATAATAATAATAATAATAATAATAATAATAATAATAAAACTTGAAAAAACATAACTTTCAGTGCCGCCCGAAATAGAATAACACAAGCAGTACGGAATGTCAGACATAGCTATTATACAAATAAACTAGTCAGCATCAAGCAGCAGTAGGAAAACCTGGAGTATCATCAATCCTATCCAGAATAGGAATACTTAACTTCTGGCTCCCCTCTCAGCTTTTATGATAAATGATACAACTGTAATGGAACCCTCCCTCATCAACCAATTCAATGATTATTTTATCATTGTTGGCAGGAATCTTGTTGAGAATATTTCTGATGATCATGAGGAATTTAGACCCTACCTGCAAAAACAGCAAAATGAGTTGTTCTTGTTCCCAGTCATGGCAAATGAATTATTGAACACCATTAAAATGTCCAAAGATGCAGCAGCAGGCGACGACAATATACCACTGAGGATCATTAATAAAAATGTCCCCCTTTTATTACCTCTTCTCTTACACATATGCAACTCCTCCTTCTCTTACAGTGTCTTTTTGATAAACTGAATATTGCTGAAGTTCACCCAACATATAAAAATCTGGTGACAAAGATCTTTTCAAGAACCACCGCATATTGGTCCTCCCAACCTTAAGTAAGATACTCGAGAAGCTGGCATGTAGTAGACTAAACTCCTTCTGCAGTGACAATAATAATCCTTACAGATTCTCAGTTTGCCTTTGGAGCAAGTCCAAAGTAAATACCATATTAAACTATTTAGTTTATATTTTCATGTTGTACAGTACTATTTAATTCTCATATAATATCTAAAACATAACTTTGGCCTGTATCGTAACTACAGTACAATGAAGCTGCTACTTCGCACTGAGCAACATGAGGTTAGGTGTTGCCATGTGGAAATTTTTTTAAGGTTTTTTATGACAAAAAATATGCCTCATATTTTTTTTACAAGTTTCTATCCTCTTAAAAGAAAAATTGGGACTGGCCTGAAAGCTATAATACTATGGCCCCCAGATGTGCTGTAACCTGGATCTGTTACTCTTATCTCACAATGAGCAATTAGCAGAGAATATTACATATGAAACAAAAACACTACCCTCTCTTTACTAAACAATAAATATAATCAAATTCTTAATAATTCACTTTACGGGGGCATTGAGATCAGCTAACTTTAAAAGTAATTATTTGTACACTATCCCAACTTTGATAACAGGCATATGCAATGGTTGTACAGTACTTTACTTTACTCGTATGTTTTTATTTCTTACTACATGAACCTTAGCTTTTAATGACAAACCTGTTTTTGTGTGTTTAAAGCCAACATAGGGCAAAGAGGTTAAGGTAAGGCAATAGAGTACAGTACTGTACTGTATAATCATTTCATACTAGCAGGCAGATTATATTACATATATAAAATGCAGACATCCACCAGGTGGGATTGAACCTAAGGCCTGGGCCTGGGAGACGAGCACTACCACTGAGCTACCTCGTGCTATAAAGAACTTACCTATTCAATTATGAATCGAGTTCCTGTTAATTCTATCAGGCATTGTAGGCCAGTTCTTTTGGTTAGCACTGTGGGGTAGTGATCCTGTCTCCCATGCCAGGGGTCAGGTTCAGTCCCACCTGGTGGAGGTTAGTATGTTATGTGAAAAGAAGTACAGTACAGGTAATTTAATTTGCAATAAAACTTCATCAGAGAGCAAGTTCAGATTTTTTTTTTTTTTTTATATGTCATATTGTATGACAGAACTTTTTTTCTCAACTGTAAATATTTTTTTGCATATTTTTTTAAACACACACACAAAAGGTATCTGGTTGCCTAAAATTTTGGTGCATCTTATTAAATTCTCAGGCATCCCACAAGTTCAGCTCAAAAAGTTGGGGGTCAGTCACATTTCCACTTAAAATAAGGATAATATTGTGAGAAAACAAAATACAGTATAAATTGTTTTGCAATTATTCAGTATCTAGTCAAATGGTCACTTTGTTGATATGATGCAATGGATTGAAAGTTCCCAAACAACCAATAAATGGTACCAGTAACAAATACTGTATCCTATGACCGCTAATCACCTGCCTCTGCTGGGAAAGGGTGGGCTCTCACAGTGTGAGACTGTGCTTAAAATGGATAAGCTCTTCAACATTACAAACTTCCAAACAGATATTTGAACCTATGAGCTAGGATGTTAAGTTCGTCCTGCATGTTATTTTCTTCCTCGAGATCAAGGACAAATTTATAATTATATTTTTTAGGATTAATTCAGAATATAACCCATAATATACTTTCATGTGAATCTTCATATACAAAATCATTTCTGACAACATACTATAACTGTATATAAACTTTGTATAATAATATACTGTATTTCAGTACACTTCACCTTGTATAATTATTTAAATAAGCCTCCAGTTAAAAGTGCTATTCTAAACTACAATTTTTATGAAAATATTAAAACCATTGAGAGTCACAGGCACTCAGAAAAATGTAGCATACATACATGAATTTGAAATCTGCACAAAGTTCCTTAAATCTTAGTTCAACATGAAATAAGTAACTGAAGAAGTGAAACTTCACTCACATAAACATACAGTACATGCAGTGTTCCCTACGACAGCTTTGTGGCAATCTTAGAAACAGCTAGTTTACTGGACCGAGCAGCTTCTTTCTCATTTTTGCGTCTCTGCTGCTCTTGTCTTCGTCGTTCTCTATCAAACTGCCGCTTCTCACGCAATACAGCATCTAGGTCTGCCTCCTCAGCCTCATCCTCCCAGCCACCATCATTCTCCATCCACTCTTCCAGCTCAGATGACTGTTGAGGATATAAATTACAGCTATTATTTATTCTGTATTGTTATGAGAGTCAGAGTTTTATATAATAATCAATCCAATCACAAACATATTTGTGTAGAGGATGTAGTTTAGTGTAATAGACGTAGTGTAATAACAAGCGCTGGCTACAATCTGCCCTTAGACACACCTGGGTACCCTAGCTAGTACAGTATGGTAAAGATGGCAATTTCCACCCTAAAATATTGAGGTTATCTCCAACCTACCTTGACAAGATGCTCCTTTACTGCCACCCCTCACGGTACATTTCTACACCTCTTAGGCCTGCTCTGAGTACCCTCCTTGTCATACCTTCATATATCACCAAGAAAATCAGACCATCCAAATCAACCTGTCCAAGCATATGGGACCCACTTTTAAGGGTTTACAATGTGACAGAATTATTGATCCCTACCTGAAGAAGTGGGTCAGCTAGTGAGAAAGACAACCTGTTGGACACTTGCTGTTCTTCCTCAGGTCGCTCAAGTATTACAACCTGTGGTTTCTTTTCTATGCTTGGTGCCAAGTCCTGAAATAAATTAAAGTAAAAAATATTAAACCTCCGTCCCTTCCTCAACACACTATAAAATCTTGAGGGTTATTTGTGAAAGCTCATAGGACATACCGGGGTAAATGATGAAATTAAATAAGAAATACCATTTTACAAGGCCATCCATGTCTAATACATGGATGAAAGTATATCTATCATAAGTATGATTATTTTGCTTGAACTCATTTATTATGAGCTTAAATAAGCCAATCTGTGTCAATATAATATGCTGGCTGTTGTTTTGAACGGTTGTGCCTACCTACTGTTATAGACATTCGAATATCGGATTCCGTTCAATTATCGACATCGATGTGGCTTAATTAGTCCGGTACTCGGGGTTTTAACTGTACAGTAATAGTTAGAACATAACTCAACCTTATTACATTATTTATTATGCAAGTTAATTCCACAATTTTCATCCTGTAAATCCCCTTATTCCATTAATTCTTACAGGGAAAAATTCCCCATTATAAATTCTTTCAGTAATTGTCCCTATTGTTTAGTGTATCCTCTATGACAGGGGTCACCAAACTGCGGGCCGGATCCCAAGTCCTTCCCCGGCTCGTGGTAGCTCCAACTACGCTCTGACGTTACCAGAGCTTTCGTTCTGGCTTGCAAGTATTGAACAGAATGATTATGCAGCCCGCGCTCGTCATTCTTTCAGTTATCCGGCCCACTGTGAAAAAAGTTTGGTGACCCCTGCTCTATGATAACAGGAGCCCTTGTACCTCAGTTATGTCAACAAGAAGACACCATTGAGATTTTACTTCTCCTCACCAAAGCACCACACAATATTTTCCCTTGGGATACTAACCTCAAAGTAGTTTGGTTCTGGTTCAGGTTCTGGGTCTGGTTCCTGCATCTTTCTTTGTTGATTAAGTCGGTATTGGTTGATCTGTTGTTGCAGTAACGACATATGGGGTGATAACGATGCTCTCCCACCACCATCACTCACCACAGATGATGGGATATCCCAGGAGTCCCATCCACCAAGACCGTCATCATTCTGTTGAGGAATAACTTTCCAATTTTAATGTTAAAGGAAATTTTGTCAAGGGCAGTATTCTGTCCTCCACTGTATGTATTAACTTATTAGTAAATTATTGTATTATACTGTATAATTATTGTGTACACCAACAACTGTCATTAAACATGTTTTGTAGTATACCAAGATGTATTAGGCAAGGTATTTTTCTTCATAGGAATGCCTTATATAATGGGATTTTTATTGGAAAATGTGATCCAATTTACCCCCTTCATTCTTTTTTTTATTTCCCAGCTTTCTTCAATCCCCTCCCCAAGTCGATCATTCCTTCTCTCAACTCCACGTGACTTACCGTGCAAAAAGGACCCAGCCAGGCGCAGGGGTTAGGCGGTGGAGTGGATGATTACTTTTGACCGTGACTGTACATGACAACACACCTGTTTGGGAAGGGCATCACATGTACTGCCATCCACTGAGACAGCAATGGGAAGATGAGAATCTGAATGTCGTCTCCTTTTGATGCAGCAAAAACATCGTCTAACAAGGCTCAAGAGTAGAAGCAGCAATGACTTCACCTTTCTCACAGCAATCATCACAATCATCCTGAAAATATACCAAGATACTTTACAATACCACTAAGGCCATTTAGAATGTGTACAGTACAGTGAAACCTCGCTTTACGCGGTCAATTGAACCCACGGAGGCCCACATAAAGCGGGAAACGCATGAAGTGAACAACAGAACATATGGGATTAATTGAAACAGAGACTGGGCCGACCCCCAAACTCCACTTTTTCAGACACAATACCTACGTTGTAGTAAAAGTAACTTCTTAATTTTATGATGGTATGCACACACAATTAATAATTAAGAGAAATATCAATAATATTAGGTTTTTTAACACTTACATTAGTAGAAATGATGGCTGGGCACACGGGGATGGTGGGTTGGTTCTGAGGCAGAGGGCAGATTAAATTATTGGCCGTCACCTGTATCACTTGTATCACTATCCACCACAGAGGCTTGCAGGGCCTCTTTGTCAAACCCCTCAAAGTCCATATAAGTCCATATCATCACTATCACTGACTTGGGCCGGCTGTGGTGGGTGGCGGGTGAAGAACTCGGTAATGTTTTGATGACTGGGCGACCTTGTGCGTTCCCTGCCCGCGCCGCTCTCCACGTAAAAGAGTACATGCACCGCATAAAGTGAGCATTCCGGGTCTGGCAGGGTACCGCGTAAACGTGGAAACGCGTTAAAAAAAACGGGTAAAGCGGGGTAATACTGTACTATAATTTCATGTGAGAAACTTGTGGCAGCTCTGGTTGTACAGTAGTTACATTGCTAATTCATTATTATAATTTTCTTCATTATTTAAGCAAATATACGAATATTTGGAAACTTATCATGATCTTAATGATCTATTCATTGTTATTTATTATAAAATTGCTACCTTTAAATTATTTAATATTTATCTTGATAGAAATACAGCCAAAAATAGATCCACCAATCACAATCCCCATTACATACGTGCTTACTTCACCAAGTATTGCCAGGTAAAATTGTGAGTACAAGAATCAGGGTGGGGTCAATGCATCTTTGGCTGACTGTACTCGTACATGGATTTCTCCAAGGTGTTTGACAAAGTCTCACATGCATGACTAGCCTCTAAGATCCAGGCACATGTCAACATGAGCAAGATTTAGACAAGGATTAACAAATGACTCAAAGACAGGCAACAAAGACTGGTACCAGGTAATATAATATGGAGTACATTCTGAATGGAAAAAGGTTCTAAGTGGAATACCACAAGACTCTATCCTTAGACCCACCTTGTTTGTGATCTCCATAAACGACACATGAAAATATATAAAGCCACATTGTCAAGTTTCCGGACGACTTGAAAATATTTGAGAAAGTCGTAAGTCAGGATGATGTCACAACAATGCAGGAAGACCTGGATGAGCTGTTCAAATCCTATTTAACATTACGAAATGCAAGGCCCTACACATAGGATACAAGAATCCTAAACACAACTAGTGTAACTGTATTCTATTAATACTTTCCTGGATACTGTTGATAAGGAGAAAGACCTTGACGTTGTGAATTTGTGATTGGTCATTCACTGAAGGTGGTGCAATAAGTGAGGGCAACAGCAGGACAATTTTGGATATTTTCTTTTTGGAAATGTGTTAATACTAAAAGAAAATTATGTGTAATTTTTTCTTACTTTTTACCTGTGCCATTATTATTATGCTCTTTTTACCTGTCATCTTTACCGGGTACTATTCACAGTATTACACCAGAATAGTTCATTTATATTATATTTAAGTATATTTTGTGTACAAGAAAAAATAATGTTACAGTACACAGTATGTATACCAGTTGATAGTACAATATCAAACCAATTCATTTCCACTTAGGGTATGTTTGATTTTTCTACCAAAGTTACCTACATATACTGTATTGTAGAAGGTGTTTTTAAAATTTTCAGCAGGTTCATCCTTCTTATGCTAATTAGATATACAATTCCAAATTAAATTGAAGTTAAATCCTGTGACTGTTTGTATTATGTAAAAAATGTACCATAGATTAGATTAATTTAAATATAAATTACACTAACAGATGTAAAGATGCTTCCACTCGCTGTAATATTGTATACAGTACATTATTTCCAGAGATAATTAATTTCACTGTCCTAATAATGTATTGTTCCAATGTTACTTACATGGTTCACAGCAAAGGTTGTTTAATGACTGTTGTATTATTATTCAGGGTTATTTTATATGCATTTCCATGACCAGACTTCAATTTCTTTTCAGTCTATTCCTCTACAGGTGTCTATATTCTAACCATTTTTCCATGTAACATTTGTTATATTGTATATGTTACAGTTATTGTGTCAAACCTTCCACTTTCTAAAATATCTGAAAATGTTCCAGTTCATGCTGTCAATGCTCTTTATAGGTTAGGTTGGATTAGATCAAGTTTCGTTAGGTCAGATTCAGTTCAGCATGAAGTTTAATTAATTTTTTTGCAGTTCTCTCCTGAATAACTTAACCTAACCTAAACTATACTCAACATATATACAACATAAACAGAATATTTTCACAGATATTTTAAACATGTCACATATATTTAATCTTCAATTTTTCCATAACATCAGGTATCGAGGTTGCTGTGCCAACTGCAGAGCCAGAAACTAAAGACCAAGAGTTCCAGACCACTGGTGAGCTTAAACAGATGTGTTGCAGTTATTATAAATAGACACACATCATCAATATTTCTGTTGGACAATATTCAACTGAATTTAAGAGAACATACTGATTAAATAGAAGCATTAAGTCACGGTTTGAATACATTCTTGAGTACCTTAGATGTGATACATATTCGTAAATGTCTCCTATTTCGATTTTTACCAAATACAGTTCTGTACTGTAGTACTAAAATTGTAATACAGTATACAAAATATTACGAATTATGAGTGATTTCGAATTTGAGGTGTTGGAATTATGTTTTTTTTTTACTGTATTAACAATAATTATTACTGCTCCAGTAACTGATCACAATACTAGACATGTGCTTGGGAGGTACAAACACATAGTGAAGTGAGTCACGTTCAAGAACAAGATTACTACATCACAAAAACTCGTGTGTGAGTGAGTGAAAGAGAAATGCCTACATATTGGCAATGTAGTCTAGCCAGGCCCGTCGTTTTTGGCCAGGCCCGCTGTTTTTATTCAAATATGCCCGCAAAAGATAAAAATGTCATATGACGTGACCCAAAGCCCAGAAGATGCACATCATGTGAAGTGATTCGAAGCTTAGGGGTTAAGTAGGCAAATAATCATCTTTACTCTCCGTCCCACTCAATACAAAGGCTGCAATTGTTGCCTAACACTTACAATGCTACCATCTATTAAGCTACCCTACCTGTAACATTTCTTACTAAATTCTCATATTACAATATTAACCCACATAACATTAACACATCACTCAACAGCTGTGTCACATAGTTTAGACCCAGTATGTCACCTGATGTTGAAAAAACAAAATACAGGACTGTAATGTTATTTACCTAATTTTTGTGTATAATTGGTCCACTTACAAGTATTTATCTTTTACAGAAAAATTTCCTTTAGTTGCAGGTGAAGGCAGGCACCTATCATTAAGTATTACCAAGCATTTATTCTATTATATAAGTCTCCAATTATAGTAGTTATGGTGCAAATCAAAAGTAAACTGTAAAATTAAAGGACAGTCGCCCAGGTTATCCAGCCATCTGAGGAAATACTGTATGTGAAGAAAATTTATTTATCTCAAGAATAAAGCAAAGTCGTGAGGTAAGAAATAAGCTTTCCTATCTAAAATTTTTCCTTAAGTGGCTGTATAACCCTGGAATCTCTCCTTACCTATTACCAAAGACACTAGTGATAAGATTACCATGTTGTAGTTAGGTATGCCCCAGTGAAATGTATTTTGTATATATTTTTTTCATGGTATTGTGAAGCTTTTATTAAACTTAACATGTCACACACTCTTACTCTAAGCTGCAGCTGTACCAAATAGTATTACCCAATTGATAGCCTATAGCTTGAGATATTGGGCTGTAGGTCAGACTATGTACTGTCCTGTACTATCCTCGCAGATTACTTATGGATCAGCTGCTACAATAGATGACAAACTAAGCCTCTGAGACTGACAGCAGATTAGACACTCGACATACACACATACCTCTGAAGGACTACAGGTAAGAGCAGTTAGTCTACCTTAGTGACATAAGGAGTACTGTTACGGTACTTCACTCGTAAAAAAAAAGTAAAAATACGTAGACCAGTATTCATTAAACTACTAGACTATACTAGAAGCAGACCAATACCTTTGTAACTGTGCCACATAGATACCTTGTCAGTTATGGAATAGTTGAGTCATTAAAAAGTCAAGTTACTAGTGGGTCATCCGGCCGACACTTGTAGACGTAAACAACACTCCACTCGTCCGATTCCTTCAGCCAGTCAACTTTTATTATTATTTACTCATGTTTAAATTGTAAAATGTATGTTATGAATAATTTTGATGTATTATTCTTACTCGAAGTCTCTTGAGGTCTTTTTTTTATTGGTAATTGTCTATAATTTTAACTTTATATGATTTTAACAGAGAACACAGGAAGTCAACCATGTCGAATAAGTGCAGTACGGTAGATGCATATATCTTTCACATATCATTACACATTACATATTATTATATAGTATCTGATATAAAATATTTGTAACTAAAACTTAATTATCAAAGCTAATGGAGAGACGGGATAATAATCTGTTAAAAACTAAATTTTTCCCTTGAATTAAAGATGTTTTCTTAGTCTCCAAATTCATTTTAATATATATTTAGAGTAATTCACAATCGCACATCTGTATAAATAAAATATATGCAAGACCTTGATATTAGAGTTAATTATTCGTTAATGGCTCAAGGTTGAAGAAGCTACAAGTCCAGAAAATTGAGGGCAAATTTTTTTCGGAGTGAGAATTGTGAACTCTTGGAACAACCTGCCAGAGAGTGTTGTGAGGCACCGGGTGTGAGCCAGACTACCAACACTGGAGCAAGTTCCGATATATTCAGGCGAACGAGTCGATCAGTGACGAAGAGGATAAAAGTAAAAAGGTAGAATTTAGCTATGAGCGATTATATATTAACTTACGACAATGAAATGTCATTAACCCTTTAGAGGGAAGGGGTTCCCCTCAGGTTCAAATATTACATTGGGATTCATGACGGGATGAGATGAGGGGGTATCCACTGGCCTGACTTACTGAAGTAACTAAGGTATAAGAACGAGGACATTACGCTGAATATCATAGCCAGTAAAGTGAACCATTTAATCGATAAACATATACCCAGGACCAAACTCAGTGCCTCCAGGAATACAAGGAGACCGCTACACGTGAACCATGCGGCGGTTGACAAGATTAAGACTTTTTCGGAGTGAGTTGTAAACTCTTGGAACAATCTACCAGAAAGTGTTGTGACGGCACCGAGTGTGAGCTCTTTCAACACCAGACTTGACCAACACTGGAGCAGGTTCAGGTACATTCAGGAGCCGGTGCATGCCCAGTACTTGCCAACAGTGCGTAACAGAGACGTGACCGAACGCCCGGGCGGCTAACGAGCCGATCAGTGGTGAAGAGGATAAAAGTAAAAGTAAAAAAAAAGAAAACCCAGAAACTCAAGACGTGGGTTAAGACAAACGATGAGCAGGGCAGGAGGATGTACACTTGTACAGTATGCCAAATCCAGGAACCAAGCAAAGTGAGAGTAGAAGGGCTGTAAAGGAGTTTCAGAGGTGGGTTGCAAGCAAGGTCAAGTCAAACCCAAAGAAGTTTTACCGCTATGCAAAATCGAAATAAAAAACGCGAGTATGAGTATGGGACCTGAGGCTTGAAGATGATAGTTACGCAGACTCTGACCAGGACAAGGGGGAGTTGTTGAACAGTTTCTTTTCCCCGTTGTTCACAAGAGAGGATGCGAGCAATCTTCCTGCGTCTGGGAACAGACGGTTCGACACAGCACTAACCCACATTGTGTTCTCAGACGAGGTTATAAGAAATAAATTGTCACAGCTAAAGGTTCATAGAGTCCCGGCCCTGACATGTTGCATCCCAAAGTGCTAAGAGAGTTGTGAAACGAGCTGCTGAGCCCCTGAAGATCCTGTTCTGTAAATGCCTGGAAAAGAAAAAGGTCCCTATTGATTGGAAAATGGCTTGTATGTGAATCCTATTTTATTTTTCTCTTTTTTATCCTCTTCACCACTGATCTGCTCTTTAGCCACTTGGGCGATCGGTCACGTCTCTGTTACGCACTGTTGGTCACTACTGGGCATGCACCGACTCCTAAATGTACCTGAACCTGCTCCAGGGTTGGTCAAGTCTGGTCTTGAAAGAGCTCACACTCGGTGCCGTCACAACACTTTCTGGCAGATTATTTCAAGAGTTCACAACTCTCACTCCGAAAAAGTTTGCCCTCACAGTTTTCTGGACTAGCGGCTTCTTCAATCTTGATCTGTGACCCCTTGTGGGGCGAGCGTCCGCCAGCTCCAGGTAAGGACACTCGACTGAGTAGTGCCCCTTGAGATGCTTATACACCTCAGTTAGGTCGCCCTTGCCCGTCTGTAGTATAAGCTAGGCAAGTTCAGGCGCTCCAATCTCTCAGGGTAGTTAAAGTGCCGAAGTGCAGGCACCAGTTTAGTGGCCCTTCTTTGAACATTTTCAACCAACTGACAGTCCCTAGCATATCTTGGGGACCAGACGGAGTGACAGTACTCCAGGTGGGGAAGCACTTCACTCCTAAGATCGTTGGGTGAGGAGCTTGCTGAGGGAGCTGGTTGGTGAGGCGCTTGTTGAGAGGTCTTGCTGGTTCAGGAGAGTAGAGTAGAATGACCTCCGATCGATCGATCGATGGGTGAAGTAAAGTATGAAGAGATCTTGATGCTGGTGCGGGAACTGGAATTGAAGAATAATGGTGGAATTTGGAGGAACTTGGGGTTGGTGGACAGTGCAAGAAGAAAAGCGAGGAAATTGGAAAATAGTCTGCCAGACCTATGCGCATTTATACGCTCCTGACCACACACTACATGCTGCCACATGTAATGTGCGGTATTTAACATGTGCTACCACAGGTAGTGTGTGGTATTTAACATGTGCTGCCACATGTACAGTAGTGTGATATTTAACATGTGCTACCACATGTAGTGTGTGGTATTTAACATGTGCTATCACATGTAGTGTGTGGTATTTAGCATGTGCTGCCACATGTACAGTAGTGTGATATTTAACATGTGCTACCACATGTAGTGTGTGATATTTAACATGTGCTACCACATGTAGTGTGTGATATTTAACATGTGCTGCCACATGTAGTGTGTGATATTTAACATGTGCTACCACATGTAGTGTGTGGTATTTGACATGTGCTACCACATGTAGTGTGTGATATTTAACATGTGCTGCCACATGTAGTGTGTGGTATTTGACATGTGCTACCACATGTAGTGTGTGATATTTAACATGTGCTACCTGCCACTCTTACCGTTGTCACAGCTGAAGTTGTAGAAATACTTTAATTATTTACATTAATCACAATAATCTGAACAGACTCCATTTCTGAGCACATAGTTATTCTACTAATTAATGTGTGCAACATATTTTAATTAACTATATTCAATTACAATAAACTCAAATGTTAACAGACTCAGATTTATTTTAATGTGATTCAAAACAACTGAATATAAAGTTACTATTATTTTGTATCACACAGTGAAGAGTTCCAAGAGAAACAAGATGTAAGCAGAGATTATTAATGTAAACTGCTGTACAGTTCAAAGGGACTGTCAGTTGGTTGAAAATGTTCAAAGGAGGGCCACCAGACTGGTGCCTGCACTTTCGCACCTCAACTACCCTGAGAGATTGGAGCGCCTGAACTTGCCTAGCTTATACAACAGACGGGCAAGGGGTGACCTAATTGAGGTGCATAAGCATCTCAAGGGCACTACTCAGTCGAGTGTTCTTACTTGGAGCTGACGGACGGTCGCCTCACAAGGGGTCACAGCTCAAGATTGAAGAAGCTGCAGGTCCAGAAAACTGTGAGGGGAAACTTTTTCGGAGTGAGAGTTGTGAACTCATGGAACAATCTGCCAGAAAGTGTTGTGACGGCACCGAGTGTGAGCTCTTTCAAGACCAGACTTGACAAGCACTGTACAGTGGGGTATACTATAACGAATCTAATTGGTTCTAGAACCTCGTTCGTTATTGCATTCGTTCGTTATAGGATTAATCCGTTCCAGGCCCCCAAATACAACCACTTAACACTGAAAAATTTCTGTGGAAAATGTAAAAAATACGGTATTTTATCTTACCTTAGTGTTGTTCAGCATGCAGGACAGGAGGTAGAGGGGGAGGGGGGAGGAGAGAATTATGGAGAAGAGGTGGAAGGAGAGGAGTCATCCTTCCTAGCCCTCTTTGGTGACTGTCTCACAGGCACTTTGTCTGTAGGGTCTTTTGTTACCTTTGTAAAGAAGGAATCCAGGGTTGGCTGCTTCAACCTTGATTTCTGGACCTTCCAAAAGTAGTTCAAAACATTATTGTTAAACACACTGATGGCCTTTTGCACAGAACCAACATCAGGATGATAATCCTCAGCAAGTTTGGACAGTTTGCTCCAGCCAAAGAACGCATCCTTGAGATCTTTGGCTGGAATGATGCGGCTTTCCTCCTTGTCCTCATCCTCCCCTGACTCCTCAGAAGTTAAGCTCCGCTTCAGTGTCTCGTTTTGTTCTTTGTGAAGCTCAAGCAGCTCCTCAGTGGACAGTTCCTTACTGTGCTCTTCCACCAACTCCTCAACATCATCATCATCCACTTCCAGGCCCATGGAATTGCCCAGACACACAATTTCATGAACAACAGCCTCTTCTTCTAACTCTTCGAAGCCTTCAAAGTCTCTTTGAAGGACACATTCAGGCCACAATGGCCTCCAAGCAGCACAAAGACACCTCACAGTAACCTCTTTCCAGGCTGAGGTAATTAAAAAAACAGCGTCTGCTATATTGAAGTGACTTCCAAAATTCCTTCAAGCTAACATCACTGGAAGAAGTGGATGCAAAACATTTTCTAAACAGTGCCTTTGTGTACAGCTTCTTAAAGTTAGAAATTACCTGTTGATCCATGGGCTGGATGAGAGGTGTTGTGTTGGGTGGCAAGAAGTGCACAGTGATGAAGTTGAACTCCTCTGGCAATTCAACCATCAAATTAGGAGGGTGGGCTGGTGCATTGTCCATCACCAACAAAGCTTTCAGTGGAAGATTATTCTCCCCGAGGTATTCCCGAACACTGGGTCCAAACACCTCAATCACCCACTCAGAGAATAAATTCCTGGTCACCGAAGCCTTTGGGTTTGACCGCCACATAACACCAAGGCGGGTCTTCCTAATGTTTTTGAAAGCTCTGGGGTTTTCTGCATGGTACACAAGGAGTGGCTTTATTTTGCAGTCACCAGAAGCATTAGCACAAAGAAGGAGGGTAAACCTGTCTTTCATTGGCTTATGGCCAGGGACAGAAGTTTCCTCCTTGGTAATGTATGTATGACGAGGCATTTTTTTCCAAAAAAGTCCAGTTTCATCACAGTTGAATACCTGCTGAGAAACAAAGCCTCCCTCTTTAATAACATTAAAAAAAATATCATGGTGTTCCTTAGCTGCTTCCTTATCTGCACAAGCAGCATCACCATGTCTCACAACACTATGTAATTTATTTCTCCTTCTGAAACCAGTAAACCACCCCTTGGTACCCCTAAACACTGGCACATCACTATCACTTGCACTGGGAGCCTTGGCTTTAAGGTCCTCAAACAATTGTCTGGCCTTCTCACAAATTATAGCTTCACTAATGCTATCACCTACCATTTCTTTCTCCTTTATCCGCACAAAGAGTAAATTTTCCGTCTCCTCAATCACATTACACCTTGCTTTGCCAAGTCTAGAGATTCCCTTAGCCACTTGCAGTTTTCAACTCCTCTTTATTCTTTAAAATCGTACATACAGTATAGTCGATTTAGCCATCCCATACTCATCACTAAGTTTCGCAATGCTTGTTCCATCCTCACGTTTCTTTATGATTTCTTTCTTAGTTTCAAGAGTTATGAGCTTTCTCACTCGCTTTGGACGATTCATTGTCACAATTGTACACTTGTATAACAAAATATTTATACAAATAACTCTATTTCCACATCAAAAGACGAAATTTCAACAATAACAGTGGTGCACTGGCTACACAATGAGACAAAGATGGCACCTGACGCTCTTGTTGTGGGTCGCGGTACAAGAATGTTCATGAGCTAGGCGAAATAGTCCCGTATTCATCCACGTTGGTTGTAGGTGTTGCGTTCGTTATAGCATTCTCAATTTTATAGGTAAAACCGTTCGTTATAGGAATATTCGTAGTAGGATCCGTTAGTTATAGCATACCCCACTGTACTTATTCCCATCTGCAGTGAGTGGCAAAGGTCCTGCACTATCCACTGCGACCTCCTGGGGGACACACACGTGCCCTACAGCCCTAACCTCCTGGGGGACACACACATGCCTTACAGCCCTGACCTCCTGGGGAATACACACACATGAGTTACAGCCTTGACCTCCTGGGGAATACACACACATGCCTTACAGCCCTGACCTCCTGGGAAATATACACACATGCCCTACAGCCCTGACCTCCTGGGGAATATACACACATGCCCTACAGCCCTGACCTCCTGGGGAATACACACACATGCCCTACAGTCCTGACCTCCTGGGGGGAACAAACACGCCCTACTGAGTTGCCTATATAACTATGAAATATGGCATGGGTTATAGGATAAATTGTGATCATCAGCAAGCACAAAATGATTATAGAAATATAGTTTTATTGAAAAAATGTTTAGCCCTTCCCCCGCTAGTGGTGGCGGAGCAGGGTAGATCAAGGGTAGAGGGGCATATTATAATGCAATTTTGTCAGTACATAGCACAATCACTAATGTCGGGACTCAAAAAATACGGAATTTTAAACATTTTTGGTATGACTGGGGCAGTCGTATGTCCGGGTGGTCGTAAGTTGAGGAGTGGCTGTATTAATAAGATGAAATTAGTATTTATAAAATTAAAGTTTATTCAGAAATATAAGTATTGTATACAAAAAGCAGTGATAGTATGTACAAGTTTCTACAATGATAAACAAATAGCATTGACAATATATACAAGTTTAAATAAAGGTGAAGGTTTAATGGAACCAAAACATAATAGTTTTGCTGGATAATGATGGTTGAAAAATGAAGGATTAATCATGAAATACTGTTGTCTCACTCAGGCTGGATGGAATAAATCTGTATGACCAGCAATTCTATTAACTGAAAACCACAGTCTCAGGGTCTTAAACATGTTACATGTACTTTATCTTCTAAAATTAAGATAATTTTAAAATTAGAACATACTTTGCCTTCACACTGAATAAAATCTTCTGGTGTTAGCCAAATATCAAAAGTGGCCTCCCATAGTGAAGGGTAAGGATATACTAAAAAGAAATGTACAGTATAAGGATTGATAACCTCACCATCATGTAAACATATCACACTCATTTTTCTATTGTTTGGCTCAGTTATAAAACCAAGAGAGATGGTCTAGCATCAGTGCCAGTTTAGGGTTATTTAGTATATCCAATTTGGGAGCACATCTACATGAAAACAGACAATAGACTAAGCACTATCCTGACTCTGAAAAGCCACACAACCAGTATCAGTAGTGTGGCTAATACTCCTCCTATGCTCTGAGAAGACTTGATAGAAACTGTACATGAAGGCCAGAGATGATACAGTACATATACCACCAATTTGAGGAATTTTAGCAGCTTTCTTCAAAGTATTAGAAATACTGTATAAGATTGTTTTCTCCCATCTTACTGTTCAGGTGTAACAGTAAAGAATGCCCTTTAAAATGAAGTTCTAAGCCAAAAATTGGAGTCTGATTCTTCAATAACAATTTCAAACTTAGTTGGAGACTGGCCCATGAAGGAGATGAACCAAAACAATCACCCCTCTTCAGTTTATGTGGCTCAGAGACTCTCCTCCTAGAACAAGAGCCAGGAGGATAATAACTTTGGTGGAGACTCCAAACCATGCACCAAAAAATTACCAAATGAAAAAAAAAAACAAAAAAAAAATTTAATGACTAATGTATGACATTTCCACTATTCTTAAATGCCTTTTCCAAATGAAAGACCATTAAAACTCTCCTGGTATGGTTTAACCCTTTGTACCACATTGGTTGTGAAGATATGTCTGGCAGGGGATAAAATCCTTTACACACACGTGTGTTTAACTTGCAACAGTAAAATTAAAATTAGACGAAATGATGCAGACTAAAATTAATAAGAATACATGAGAATAACAGAATTGATCAATTTCAAAAGGGACTGCTTTATCATCACAATGTTTCCCACACTAGTATGGAATGGTAAAAAAGAAATGTAATATTTCATACATATATGTTAAACAAGGATGTTTTAGAGTATTTTTTGCTTGTCTTCAACAAATAAGACATCTTAACACCATCCACCCCCTGTTGTTGTAAAGCATCCTATGAGAACATAATTTCTTGGAAAAGACATTACTCTAATAGGAAGTATATTTCAAAGTATGAGAAGTATGTGCCGTGAAGTAAATATGTTAAAAATGTTCAACTGCTAAACCCATTCAAGAGTATATGATAAGGAAAATAGCTTCAGAGTGAATTCTTCTGTACACAGTTTCCTGGTGTATCAGAGAAGCTTCTATCAAACCAAAAAGTTATTAATAAATGAAGGGTGCATGTATGACACTAACCAAATCTATAAAAAGGCATAACACTGAATATCCTACCGATGAATGTGAATTATATTCCTTTTATATAAAACATTTGTACAACATTTCAGTTCAAAATTAAACTAACACAGAGGTATATACTGTATATTGACTTCAATCAATAATACATCTTCACTAAGTCTTTCGTTTAAATACTCTCTTTGCAGGAGGGGGTATCATCCAAGTTTTAATTTCAAAAGTTTCAATTATATTTTTCCAGTCACTTATTGTGAAACTGATTATACCCTGGTGAGAGACACCTCCAGCACGGCACCCTGCAGTTAGACTTCTTGGGGTGATAACTGGGAAGCCGTTGTCATCTGCAAAAAAGAAACTGTCAAGACTTCTCCTATTATTAATACCTGCACCCCTTGTATATGTAATACCTGTACTTTACTTCCAATTCTCAAAACATGAAAAACTGCATATTTGGGAATGCTCTAACAGACTCCCTCATGTCTCAACTCCTGACCTGAATTTAAGATGTTCGGGTGTTAAGCCAAGATAAGTTATCGACTTAATAATGATGGAAATCAAGCTGAGGTTCCCATAGGTACCATCTCATATAAGTCTGGTATGCATGGTAAAAGTTACTCTGTTTAAGTAAAAACATATTTTATAACCAAAACATAACCAAACTGGACATATTTATATTTAGGTGAACCCATGCTATAAGTGCTGCTGTCTTTGTAAATGTAAAGGGGCTATCACACTTGTGCACTTTACCTCCAACCTTCAGTCAGATTTCCTTCGTCTCTGAAACTGGATTGTCACACATGCACCTTGCATATGTCAATCTCCAACCTCAAACCATAACAATAAACATGGCAGAACTTTTATTAAAGACGGGCCACTCAAGAGAGAAAGTTGAAGTACAGTATAGTAATTTTTTCTTTTTTTGGTCCAGGAAAAAGAACAAAGAGGAAACATTTATGGAGGCAGAGTTGGCTGTAAAGAAAAGAACAACAGGCTAAAGTGTATTTAAGAAGCTAGTGCAGGAACAGTTCTAAATCACAAGAGCTTAAAAGCAGTGGATGTGACTTGACAGACACCAATTCCATGTATTACTGTATGTACTGGCAATGATCAAGTACCCATTGCTAAAAATTACATTAAAATGCGGGATATTCTGTTATTTTGTCAATATGATAAACTTCTGCTTATTTATTCCATAAGATATGTTTCTGCAGCACACTGGTTTCCATTATGGTTTGTTTTGGTACATAAGAACAGGAATCAAATGACAATTTATTTACCTTTAGGTAAATAGTAACCAAAGCGTAAATATTCACCATAGTTCTTATTGCTTACCAATTATACCAGGTTAAAGACAAAGTTATCAAATATTTTACCTAAAAGAGTTAGTAAAGCATTTCATAAGACCCTAGTCCATCTTAGTTGGAAGAAATCCATATGTACAGAGTTCTCCAATACTCAGAAAATGAGGGTTGGAGGAAAATGCAAAAGCATGATAGTGCCTTTACTATACAGTACTAGGAAATCTACCCCAAGAAATTTCTTTAACTAGAAACTGGTTAAACTTTCATCCATAAAAACCCAAAAAAGTTCCTCAAACACATGACATAATAGTACAGTACATACCTTCTGATATTTCAGCATATTGTTCTCGTAACAGAAAACTTGTATGAAATAAATTTTCTGTTGTTAATGAGAAACTCTCTGGATTTACAATAAATGAGAAAAAACAAACAGGATGATTCCCATTCTCTTTGTATCGTGCTTTGAGTATCCTCATTATCCTTGTTACTTCTTCCGTTTGCTTTTCCTCTCCAGTTGCTCCACTCAACACCTATGTAAAATAAGGTTAAATTAATCCTAATAAGTGAGGATCCAATTATATAAATTAATTCTATATGTAATAAACCTCATAAATCCAGACTAATTAACCACTGGTGTAAGGGATCCCCTCTTTGCTGAATAAAATCATCTGGCATCAGCCAAATAAAATATTAAAAATTGTCTCTGTACTGAAGGGGTTAACAAGAGAACTTCAAAACGAAGTCACACAGACCAGAAAACATTAAAATTTAAGCAGTGCTATTCCCCCAGGTAAGCACAGGACAACTTTACAAGTACTGTAGTTCAGGTTAACCAAGCATGATGATAAACCAATCTTGATGAAAACATGAAAAGCATCCACGGATCACTTGGGGCCCCATGAAACTACAGCATAAAGGACACATTGATCAAAGCCAAAGGATTAAAAGTAAAAACTCAATATGCTGTAAATGGGAGAAATAGACTGTCAGTGCATTACAGGATGCCAACACATGATTCAGATGATGTTTTAAAATGAGAATACTGTTTACAGTACTGTAAATCTAATTATTTCAAGGCTAATCTATTAATTTTAATTAATTTGAACCCATATCATTAACCAGCACTTAAAGGAGTACCTTTTTATAAAATTATAGCTAAATTTATTTTATTTTTCACACCTTTTGTCGAGAAAGTAAAAACTAGCATGTCTAAATAGTAAAGTTCGTCTATATCACCGAGAAAATTTATAAATAGGTGATTTAAAACTAACAGGCACAACATAACTGACGTTTTAAATATTCAGCCAAAAATATGACTGACCTATTAGTATGAGGGTAAACATGGGCCTTGCTGAACACATCTATACTACTACACAGTAAGAAACATGCTTTACCGCCGTTGGTCTTGTTGTTGGAGCACTTTCTTCATCTCTTTCTCGTTTTCTAACTCTTGGTGCTGCTTTAGGTCGATGCCATTCAATTGCTCCATACAAGGGCTCCACGCCTACAACTCTTTTATATAGTCCAGATACAGCTTTACCAAATCTGAAAATTTGTATTCTGGTTTAGTCCATAATGTGTGAACCTAGGTACTCTGTCATGCACAATATAAAATGCAATCAAGGGGTGTGTTCATGTTCTTGCTCTCATGGCCATGTATCAGTTGAAGTAAAAAAATATTGAATTGTAATAATTTTTTTCTTATTAGAAACTATGTAGAGCAGCACTGAAGTTGGTGGTGCAGTGTCAGCCTTCCTGTGCCATCTCTATTTAATGTGTATTTGACTAAAATTTAACGAAATGAACAATGCAGGATTGTTTTGCGAAGGAACAGACAATTTAGTTAGACCTTGATGAGTGTTATCAGAAGCCATGGAACCTAACCCTCTAATATTTCCCATAAGCCTTTGTCTTACCATCAGTGGACTTTTCAGGAACCTAACACCTGCAGTTGACATGGGACTACTGTACTGTGAAAGGACGAAATATTCCAGGGTAGAACTGGTCTGGAACTTCTGCTCTCAAAGGAAAATGGCTAAGAATGATATTCAAGATGGTATTTTGCATTGACTGGGAACAAAAGATAACACGGCCATAGTTTGGCTGTGGAGTATGGTGACCAGGCAGACATGGCTTACAAAGGACCTCCTGTCACAAGATGGCAACCCAAATAGGTTGAAAAATTAACCATGGTTGACATAATTGAAGGCTGTGTGGGGGTACAGAACACCTTCATGGTACTATTATTAGTTTCAAGTTAGATCTGTACAGAAGATACTTGTAAACACAAAATCAGATATATTTGTAAATTTCATCATTCTTTGAATCTGGAACATAGAAAGGAAAAATGAAAGACCTACCTTTGCCAATCCAGCTGCTTACCGAAGACATCAGGATTGTCTGCTTCATCACCTGGTGTCATAAACTGAATCTGCAACAATATTTAGAATGAATATGAAGATTTACATAGGTTAAATGAAGGACTGATCCTGAAATCCCATTCCATGACTATTCCTGACATAATGGCTGGTACAAATCAAACCACCAGACCCCACTCCCCTAAAGCTAATGTTGACTTGAAGGGGGTAAACAAGAGCAAAGATTTTCCCTATAGTACACCAAAGATAGGAGGCTCAATGAACATATAACATCACATCGTCCATAATCGCTTTTTTTTTTTTAGCTGAAAGTACAGGACAGGTACTAGGGTAAGAAGAACTGCACCCCCCCCCCTCCTGCCTTGCAGCTCATTGGCTCATACATAATGTTTAATTAATACTGTATTGATATACAGTAATGCAAATAATTTCATATATAACTGTTAAAAATGCCCAGTTCTGGATCACTTTAATGCAAAATTTAATGTATTCAAGATATAACTGCTTGAAAACATTAACTTTCAGGAATATTCACCGTCAAAGCCACAAACAAATTCACGCTTTTGGAGAACACATTTAGAGTAAATCCTTCCATTTTCACTAATTATTATGGATATTAAGACAAATGACACCACACATATAAAGCAACGGACATTAGTGACTATTTTATAAAGAACAGATTCAAATGTAAACACCACATATTCGTGTAAAGGTTTTGTTTAAGACGAATGTTATGGGAAGGAAGTGAGCTTGGGGGAAGAGCCGGTCAGCTGAACCTGATAATCTCTAGATGTGGTACTCTATTTACCCCAAACATAATCACTTTAATTAGATCAGCCTGAGCTCTCCTCACCCGAATAGTCCAAGAAAGATAGGGGAGTGGAATGGATAAAAAGGTCTTTGAAATGGTATGACCTGTAAGAGGGATGCTAAAGAGCATGTACAGAGGTAATGTAACAGGTGCACTGGGTAGGAGAGAAAGACTACATTATGGGTGGGAAAAGTTGAGCCAAAAATACTGAGGAAAGATCATGGGAAGGGAAAAGGCTAACTGACAGAGCAAAACATATACAGTACAAAGTAAAGAGGCAGCCTGCAGGCTCTTCATTAGTGGTCACTCCCAAATAGGGAAGTTCCCTTGGGAAGGGAGGCATTGCTGAAAAGAAAATGCATGAAAATAATAATTACAATACTGAAAATATAATGGTAAATTTTTTAAAGGGAAAATATATTTCCCTGTCTTTTATCAAGGGTAAATATTGTAACAAGCCTTAGCTTACCAATTTCTGAGCAAACTCCGCTGGCCTGAAGACAGTTAAGTTCATCTGACAGGACTCTATATTTATCTTGGCTAATGTGCCACAGGTCTTCAAAAGCTGAGCATCCATTGCTGCTTCTCTGGGTCGTTTCACTGACAATTGAAAAAAACATTCATGAAAGGTAGTCTATAATATGTTGTAGAATAAGTTAATGTACACTGATTCCAAGTGAGATGATATATGAAAGAGCTAAGGAAAGAAATGTTTATAAAAAGTAGTCTACAAATGTATAAGAAGCTAGCTTCACCTATTAAGAGCATTAACAATACAAATGATTTGAAGCTAAATACAGTACAGTACCCTGTACTCTATAAGCTGCAACATTATACCTGTAATCAGTTGGGAACTGACTGCAAGAATTTTTATACAGTACATCATACATCTTAACCCAGGGTCAATAGACACCTTAAACCTTAGTAAGAAGTTGATGGTAGAGACTACTGCCTGGAAAATTCTTATGATACTGCAGTACTGCATCAGTTTCAATAATGAAAGCGATGCTATTTCACATGATATATCACAAAGTTTTGAACTTTGTGAAGATGACAAATCAAACAGTAGAGGAGAGCTTTACTGATGCAATTTAACAAATAAACTAATGATGAACACAGCAACAACTAGCTGGGAGGAACAGTAGGAGTCCATGTACATGGTCAGAGATAGAACTTACCTCCTGTGAAAGCTTCATCTGCCTTAAGTACCATGAGGCTAAGACAAGAAATATCAAGTCCATCACTTCCTGCTCCCTCTGTTTGCTCCTGAAATGTCTGAATGAGATCTCGGTACTTTTCCTTTACTTGCCTATTGGCTTCTTCTGACATATTCACAGCCTGTGTAAGAAAAACATATAAACCAATGATTACTGCTTTAAAGCCTTGACATGTTAACAGCAGGATACACTATACTGATGGATAAGGTTGGATAAACTCTTAGCAACAAAGAGCACTTCTAATCTAACCAAACCAATCTTATTTAATCCAATGGTTAACTCAAGGTTCAGTGAGGCTTCAAGTTAGGATTAAAACCCATAGTTGACTCACGTAATTCAAACCCCTCATGGCCAAAATTGATGGACTAAGCCCAGAAATCCTATTTTATGGTTTAGGACTGAAGTGTGTGACCCACAATACTAAATTGACAAAAATATTAGGGACATCCAGAAATCCCATTTTATAACCAAATAATTTATGTGGAGTCAAAAAATATATAAAACCCAGCCATGTGACTAGAACTATGGGAACTGATGGATAAAGAATTGAACTACTAAAGGCTGAAAGGAGTAAGACTATCACACACACAGCGTCATTGACTTTTTAAATATCTTTAATTATTTCAAAGGTAATTAATTAACACTAATTACTCAAAATTTTAAATTGTGAACCCAGATTGTTAATCAGCAAGTAAAGTAGCACCTTTCTATGAAATTTAAACAATTTATTTTTTGAACCACAAGTGCCAAAAACTAAGGTACTGTACTGTATTAGGTCAGGTGTATTTTTTACGTAAATCGATATTTTGGCGGAAAGTGAAAACTAACGTGTTTATATAATAAAGATAGACTTCAAGGCGTCTACTGGCCAGACAAAAACAAAATTCCCTGGCTTTTCCAGGTTTCCTAGGGGTAAACTTGAAAAATTCCAGGTACAGTACATTAATTTGATATTTATTATGACAGAATAACAAAATTAGAGGTTTCCATTAATATGAATACTGTATATATTATTGGGAAACTTAAAGGTGATATAAATGATATTAACCCTTACGCCCCAGGTGACGTACTGGAACGCCCGACTGACGTTCCAGAACGCGCACCTTTTCCCGCCACTGTTTAAATGCCCAGCATGGATTATCAGGTTCCAGTGTGACTATTTGCCTGTCACACCACACGCTCGGCTACAGGAAAGTTTCTAGAGAGTCAATATATAGTTTTTCTTACTTATTTTTTATTATTTTATCATTTAAAAGGGTTAAATATATATATATATATATATATATATATATATATATATATATATATATATATATATATATATATATATATATATATATATATATATATATATATATATATATATATATATATATATATATATATATATATATATTTTTTTTTTTTTTTTTTTTTAAAGTTGATTTTTCTCGATATACCCCATGTGGGGATACAACCAGCAGCACCCTAGTCCGGGGCAAAAGGGTTAATCAAGAAATTGAAGACCCTTTCGTGACCCACACCCCAAACCTAGTGATAAACATTGGCAAGGACTTTGACATGCCCCCCATCCATATTTTTCTCCTCGGATTTGTGCAATTCACTTGGGTCAACTGGGCATTCCAAAAAAAGCCACAAATCCGGCAAAAACTAAAAATTACACTCCTGATCCACCTATACGACTCATGATTAATATGTGGAATAATCCACTTAAATAAAGTCACTTAATTATAAGAACGATTCATCTCTGACAATAATAATTGCAGAATTAGTAGATATTTTTTATTTATTTATTTTTTAATGGGGATTAGCTCACCCGGGCACAGGTCACTGACCCACATCGGGGCATGGGGGGCAAAAATGTAATAATAATAATAATAATAATAATAATAATAATAATAATAATAATAATAATTCAGATAAGTAAAATTTATAATAATAAAATAATAATAATAATAATGATGATAATAATAATAATAATAATAATAATAATAATGATAATAATAATAATAATAATAATAATAATAATAATAATAATAATAATAATAATAATAATAAACACCTTGTTTTGTACTTCTCCTTAGTCTGTACCCACCCCTGAAGATGTGAATTACACGAAAGCGCTTGGGAACTTCGTGTTTTCTTCTTTCCTTGTGGTTATCAGCATATACCTGGATCACGCGCACCTACAGTGATTTACTTGCATAATAATAATAATAATAATAATAATAATAATAATAATAAAGAAATGCAAAAACGAAAAAAAAGATCAAGATTGAGAAACAATATACAGTATGTATGTTATGTTGTCAATGGTAAGAGAAACAATTGAGGCCCTGCAATTGTGTGTAAATGAGGCAGAAAGTCAGATCAGCAACCTGGGACTTGGTCACAATTTTCGTGATGCCATATGGCAGCAGGGTCTACCATTAGACAATACATTATGCTTCCAATATCTTCCCAGGCAGTAGTACCTCCCTGTTTGGTAGCTGCCTGTAATATTTGGTTATTTGATCACTAACATGAAATATGATAGAACACAAACAATTAAGTTATTAGAGTGGACTATGTATTTACTGGAATTTGTTCCTAAAAGTTTAATTATTTACCTTATATATAGTACTGTACATCATTAATTTAAGGTAAGATTTCTGTCAAAATAACAATACAGTGTATTTTGAAGCTGAACTGAATTCACATAAAATTTCAAGTTTATTTGTAAAATTCCCTGGCTTTTCCAGGTTTTTCAGACCAGTAGACACACTGTGTACAGGTGATACATGGCTGCACATCACTGTCGACTCCTTTCCTATCTCACTTCTACCATCCCAACACACTTGTGTCACTCAATGAAGTGAAAATCATACTATTTGTTTTTTAATATTATAATTTCATAGGATAAAATGCAGTACAGTACAAAATTTAAAAGGTGGGTGATGTTTATACTGAAGCTGTTCTTTGTATGCACTGTACAGTATTGATATTGATATTGAAACAGTTTATTTGACCAGAAAAAATACAGATACAGTCGATAATAATAACAATATTGTATTGACACGGCTGAGCCAATTGAGAGCCTGAGCTCTCTTAATGGCATTGTAGAGGTATACCTCGCTACGTGTTGGACATACAGGCAGTCCCCGACTTACGACGAGGTTAGGGACCCAAAATCCAGGTCGTAAGTCGAAAATGCAAAAAATAATGCATAGAAAATCTAAAATGAAATACAGTACAGTAAAAGTAATCAATAATGAAAAATGAATAAAGTGTTACTGTGCACTTTCCTTTAATGTAGTCAACTGAATGCACATGGGGCCCCAATAATTTTTTAATTAAACATGGAGACTACATTAATTGGATGAAGCAGAGGAGGAGACAGGGCTGGGTGGGTCATCAATGTTGCTTTCTTCAGAAAGGCTAATATACTTGCTTGTTGAAGGTATTGGATCATCTTTAGGGAGTGAAGAGGCAGCACTGGTGGGGTGTGTGGAGACAGCAGTGAGGGACTTCTTAAAATATATGTCCAATTTAGACGGCACAGTTTGCCTTTTCTTTTCTTTGTAAATCGCCCTGTAGCAAGCAAGTGCATCTTGGATCATTCTGTCAGCTTTTGCAAAACGCTCAACATTTTGATCCATTTCGTCAAACATTTGCATCCCCTTATTAATAGTAGCAAATGCCTCTGCCATTTGATTCTTCTGAGCACCACCGGCACTCTCACTTTTATGCTTGTCATTCATTTTAAAGGGAATTAGAACCGAAAATATTGAAAAGTTTGTCAGTACTGTACACAGCACGATCACTACCGACAACAACAATGGCCAAACACCAACTGAGCGTGCTATGGCGTGGACGCTGTACACCACGAGGCGGCTCAGCCTACACCACGCTCTCGTACGGGACAGAAACGTTTCGGTACTGGAAAATACGTACGTAATTTGAAAAATTTTTGGTACGACTGAGGCGGTCGTATGTCGAGTAGGTCGTAAGTCGAGGAGTACCTGTAAAATCTTGTGAGTACTGTACAAAGTTAAGTTAAATGCATAGTGTACACAGGTTTACCGAAAACCTAATGATAATACATTTGAATATCAGATATCCAAAAATAAGTTTTGGAAATACTGTTATGAATTTTCCAAAGGATTTTCAGATTCAAAATTCCCTTCAAATCTCATCAGCTGGCCTAGCTTTGGTTAGTTGGCTAATGGTACACTTTACTTTTACTTTACTAGTTTACTTTTATCCTCTCGCCATCGATTGGCTTATTAGCTGCTTGGATGGTTGCTCACGTCTCTGTTACCGTACACAAAGTTGGCAAGTACTGGGCATGTATACTGGTTCCAGAATGTATCTGAACCTGCGCCAGTATGGTCAAGTCTGGTCTTGAAAGAGCTCACACTCGGTGCCATCACAATATTCTCTGGCAGATTGTTTCTAAAGTTGACAATTCTCACCCCCCAAAAAGTTTGCCCTCACAATTTTCTTCAGCCTTGGGTTGTGACCCCTTGTGGGGCAGGCGACCACCAGCTCTAGGCATGGATACTCGACAGAGTGATGTCTTCCGAGGTTGTCCCTTGCCCATCTACGGTATAAGCTAGGCAGGTGCAGGCATTCTAATCTCTCTGGGTAACTGATGTGCCATAGTGCAGGCACCAGTCTGGTGGCCCTCTTTTGGACCTTTACGATCAACTAACAATCTCAAGCATATCTTGGGGGGAGCAACCCACTCTTGAAGAACGTTACGTGGGATGGCCCATCTAGGTATCTGAACAACCTTATTATAAGACCTACTAGCTTAGTTGCTTGAGTCACCTTTTTCTCACAATGGCCTGAGAACTTCAGTTTGTTGTCAACATACTGTACTATACTACACTCTCTGATCGACCTTTGGATGGTCAATCACAGCCATGGCTACATCTAATTTAAGTTTTTGGTATAAATATTGGCATTCAGCATTGATTTTACAGTTGTACCCACACAGCTCAGTTCTGGTCAAGTAGAGAGAATATTTCAATCTTTAATCATGAAAAATGTAACAACAAAAATGTTATATCGAATTACACAATCACATCACCAAGACGATCCTGATAATCTTTTGAATTCACTATCCAATTTCTGAACAATGAAAATCCAAATGTCAACACGCTTCGTTACAGAGACACAACAAAGCAAGACCTGCACCTATTGTGCCAAAATAAAAAATCATTTGTGTTGCCTGCTAACTCTTTCATCACTCAGACAACATTGTTGATTCCAAATAGGTGTTCTGCCCTTAAAATGTCTTAAAACAAATGCATAGTGAGGTGGTGAGGAGTGGTACTGTGATATCAAAGAAAAGGAAATTTTCGAAAAACTTTGATAAAGGAAATTTTGTGACCAGAATAGGGTAGGAGCAACAAATTAAGGCCGATTCACACAACCCGTTTCTGTTCCGACCGTCAGGCCGTCGGCTAGACGCCGTCAACATTTCTTAAATGCATGTTAATGTATCTGTTCACATGACCCGTCATGCTGACGGCGACAGGCGACTGACAGCCGACCGACACGTCTCAGATTTCTTCTCGAGAAATCCTGGCCGGTTTGACGGCGCCTTGGCACCAGCCTGACGGGTTGGAGACGGCTCGTGTGAAAGAGGACCCGTACGGTACCCGATCATCTGTAGTTGCCGCCTCCTTATGACATATTTAGTTCAGTGTTTGGCATCATGGACGAAAGGCTGACAGAAGTTGTGCGTGGGTGTGAAGAGTTATTTGACATGACGAACAAGAAGTACAGTGATAATCTGCATAAAGATAAGATATGGAAAGTGATTGCCGTAATAAACAAACCAGGTGAGTGTGAAATAAGTTTATCACACTTGAAATGTTTTGTCTTGCCTTACTACAGCATATATACTGTATATCACTCCAGCAGGTTATTTTGAGTGTGTTGACATATTGCCTTTAAGATCAGAAATGTTTTCATCCCTAATAAAATTATGTAAAAGGCAAGTAGCATAAACAATGACATTGCATTTTCAGGATTTAAATTCAGTGTTTTTTGGTAAATCAAAAACTTCTGGCTCAGAATGTCAAAGGCATTTTCAACTACCCTCCTAGCACATGAAAGTCTATAATTATAAACTCTTTTCTGATCATCATCAATCTGTGTACCTGGGTATGGTCTCATTAAGTAGGGTTTCAGAGGGAAAGCTTCGTCCCCAACTTAGCCTTGGACATTCTGAAGTATTGGTAGAATTTTGCTTCATCATCTGCCAGTTCTTTATAGAGGGTCCAGAATTCTCCCTCGCACTTTCTCTTTTTCAGTGACTGATGTACCCATAACCTTTTCCTCTTTCCACGAACTTTTTCTTCCTCCTCTTCTTCTAGTAGAAGAGCAATTGCCGCCAAATTCTTAAGAGACCGACCGGCCATGATCCTCACGCAACAAGAGTTACGTAAGCACTGAATGACGGTATCAGACGGACCGGGAACGTGTCGTGTGAATACACAATATTCTGACGGCGCCAAGCCGACGGCCTGATGGTCGGAACAGAAACGGGTCGTGTGAATCGGCCTTTACGGTGTGGAAATCCTGTTTTACTAGTTTGGTTATTCAAACAGCAGGTGCATTTGAGATTGTTTTTGTTCCAAGATGCTCTATAGCTGCATACAACAAGCCAGCTGACTTTACCCTCAACTTATTTATCTTACCAGTTGCCTTTCAACACTTTGCTCTCAATCTATATTGTACATTACAACTTTACTATCATGAAGGAAAATTAGGACTATCTGGGTACTTGACAGACTGACAGTGCATGCTACAGAATATCTGGCATTGTTTACACTGGCTACCGTTCACCAGACAATGTAATAACAGAGGAAATAGACACACACGTATAGTATTAATTACAGTGAGTCTGGCCACATAACTGTTCTCATCTAAAAAGTCTAAGGGCAGGCATTAAGTCTATAACTACAGTAGTGACTTACCGCAACATCCTCCTGAGATATGTTCTCTTCATCAGGGTCAATGTTGATGACCTTACTCTTCATCTTGAACTGCCCGGGTGTAATAAAATTGAAACCTTTAAATTTTAAAATCATATACTACGTTTATCTTATATCTACTTGTCTCAAATTTTATATTTTATTAATGAATATGAAAAATATTGCAAAAATCTGTTCACACATGTGTGATACATTCTACAATGCCCTCTAACTAATTTACATTTAACACAATAATCCAACAATTCAACGACTATAAATTACAATGTGAAGTGTCCCCTGAGATGAGGTCTAACTTCCCTCATGCTTACATCTCTCTTTTCACCCATTGTTCTGTAAGGAGCTAGGAGGGAGCAGGAGTGGGGGGCGAGTGAGCGGTGGTGGAGTGAGCGGTGGTGGAGTGAGCGGTGGTGGAGTGAGCGGTGGTGGAGTGAGCGGTGGTGGAGTGAGCGGTGGTGGAGTGAGCGGTGGTGGAGTGAGCAGTGAGAGGTGGGGAAGTGAGCAGTGAGAGGTGGGGAAGTGAGCAGTAGGGGAAGTGAGCAGTAGGGGAAGTGAGCAGTGGGGGGGTGAGCAGTGGAAGGGAATGAGGCCCCATAAACTCGCCACACCTTGCTGTTCTGTTGTAGCTTAACATCACCATCATAACACCTGAAGATGTGAAAGGCTTAAGGTACTGTACACAATATTAACCTCATTATTGTTAGGTTAACCATTCATATTACTGTAGCAGGTTCCCAAGTTACAAACATATACCGTACAGTTATCAGGTTTTGCTTACTTAATAATAATGATGTAAAATGTGATAAAAAGTGGGTGTTGGTGGTACAGCAATAACGTGCATAACTCTCACCAATATGTCAAGGGTTCAAGCCTCGCCCTGGACACAGGTGAGAAGGGTGTTATCCAGTGTGACCCTTGTATAGATATGTGAACACGCCTGACGCCAAGACTCTGTTACCATTCATTGTACCATTTATTCACATGTCTGTATTACTACATATTATTATACCATGTCTGATATCTATGCTTATGTCTAATGCCTATGTTCACTCACTAGGCCCCGATATACTATGTCTGTACCGCGCTAGTCGAGTAACTAGAGGACCTCAGTCATTGTCCTAGTGATGTCTAGCAACTCTCCTTGCCCAGCTAGACAACATCCCTCAGATCAGCCTCGGCCTCCCTACGGTCCGGGGCCCCTTGTGTCCGTCCCTGTATCGGTCGGCTATCACGCCAAGTCTTGTACACTTATTGAATATACCTACTGCTCGTGCTCTGGAGTTTCAAGAACCTTGTCTAGGATTACATCCATTACATGGCGCAGTTGAGTAGCTCCAACACGACAGTTCACAAGTTGCAAAAGCCGGCCTAGTCCGTCTCCCGGCCTAGTCCGTCTCCCGGCCCTCTCTGTTTCCCGCCCAGAAGATATACTCCACAGTGCCCCTGGATTTACAGTGCTTTGTGACCTTGTGAAGTGCAGTGCCTTTCATGTCTGTTTGCTATGTCTCTGCGGCCCTACAGGTAGCAGAAACGCCCCCAGCCCAGTCTCCAAGACAGCACCTCCGGCATACACCCCCCGTCCGCACAGGCCCGCAAGCCACTGACTGCCTTCCCCACACTGAGCCACCACCAGCCGCCCGGGCGCCCGGAGGGATACACCGCTGCCAGCCGTCTCCCCTCACTTCACAAATATTACAGTCAGTACTCTTTTACTTGCCCGCTAGTTCCTGCACTTAGGCAAGTACATTGACGAAAACATAGCACTTCACCTTATTCTCCGTGTCTTTCCCATCGCAACCACACCAAGCACGAGATGTCTGACCACGACGATTTGCCGGGAAATCTAGATGAGGATTATGAGGTAGACGAAGCCTCACAGACCCCCCCACCCCCCCTCACGCCTCACACGCCGGGCGCGCCAAATTCAAAGGATGGGAGCCAGGATATACGTCAGTTAATCTACTTCCTACAAGTTTCCCAAGAGAAGGAAGCCCAAAGACGTCAAGAGGAATCAGCTTACCGTCTCCAACTTCAACAACAACACCAAGCTGATAACCACAAACTCCTGACACTATTGGAATTGCTGGCAATGAGGACGACTTCACCAGCTGCCACAACCAATTCGCCAGCTTCAGCCTCTTCATCTATCCTTCAGACAACGCCTCCTCACACGTCACCTATCCCCCTTGGGTATGCCTCAGTGCCTTCTCAACCACCTGTTCCAGTCTCAACTTTCGTCGACCTCTCCGTGCCTCCCCCACCGCTTGCCGTCTCGAGCACACCCCTGCACAGCAAGTCTTCAGTTACCAGCCCCCCACCTCTTCAATCTGATGCAACATATCAAGTATACCGTCAATGGCGACGTCGTTTCGAAGACTTTGCTGTCATGTCTGACCTCAACCGAATGCCCCCTCAGAAACAACTCATCCAATTAAGATCGTGCATCTCCCTCGATGTTCAACGCCTCCTAGAGCACACGCTAGCCATTCCCCCTGACTCCTCCATGTCAGTGACAGAGGTCTTAGACGCCTTGCAGAGTCATTTCCGTGGCCTCCGCAATGAAGCCTTGCGTCGTAGGGAACTGCTATCCTGCAAACAAGCCTCTGGGGAATCATTCTCAGACTTCTATGCACGACTTAAGGACCTAGCAGCCGAGGTGGACCTATGTACAGGCGATCCTGTAACCTGTGCCGAGATCCAGCTCAAGATGATCTTGCTGATGGGTGTACGTGACGAGGACCTGCTTCAGAAACTCCTCACCCTCGACGCCGCCTCCCCCCTCACCGACTTCGTCACCCGTTGCAGGTCGTATGAGGCCACAAGAGAGGCTGCCTCAGCTATACACTCATCGCCATCTCAAGTTCACGCCGTCTCCACCTACAAGAGGAATCAACGCCAGATGCAGACGGCGTCCTCTCCACAGCCCCCGTCACGGTCACCAGTTTTTTCTCCCGAATCCTGCAGAAGCTGTCAGCGCCAGCACGGTCCAGGAAAGTGCCCTGCGGCTGATAGTACATGTCGAAACTGCGGATTTCAAGGCCACTGGCCCCGCACACCTCGATGTCCCGCCAACAAGGTCTCATGCAACGCTTGCAACAAGCAAGGACACTTCGCCAAGTGTTGCGGGTCCACCAAGAAGCCTCCATCCCCAGGTCAAAATGTCTCCTCACCGTCTCCCGAGAACAACAAAGGATGCCTACGCGTGGACGATGCCTCGAGTGACAGGTCCCCCAAGCCCGTCAATGTTCGTCTGTCCTACGGCACCAACTCTTCCAACCTCCTGATGATACCTGACACGGGCGCGGACATCACGGTGATTGGACCAACACACCTGGACGCCCTCAACATCCCCAGGAGTAGCCTGTCACCCACAGCCAGGAACGACGTGCTCACAGCGGACGGGTCCCCGATGTCTCCAGCTTTGGGGTGCTTCAAGGCAACATTACAGCTCGGTCCCAAGTCTTGCCTTGCCACAGTCCACGTCCACGAGGGCATCCAAACCCCCCTCTTGTCATGTGGCCATTGTCAGGATTGGCCATCGTCTCATCCGAGTTCCCAAAGCCCATCCTCGCCGTGACACACCTCAACAGGTGCGCAGAGATACCTGTTTCAGCCATGACCACACCTGCTGCCGCCCGGGAGTTCTTTTTTCGTCAGTTCAGCGACGTCCTCGTTACCCTCCAGGAGCTTCGCATCGCCGCCGCTCAAGACCCGGCATACGCCCAACTCCTCGACTACGTCTCCGCTGGATTCCCCACCAACCGCTACGACATTCACGCCTCCGCCCTCCCCTTCTGGAAGCTAAGGGATAGCCTCTATGCGGACGGAGAGCTGGTGTTGTACGGCCCCAGGATCGTCGTTCCCGCTGCCCTCCGCCGGCGCACCTTATCCCGCCTCCATGACAGCCACCGCGGCGTTGAAGCCACCAGGCCCAGAGCCCGTCAGACCGTCTTCTGGCCTGGTATTGAGGCCGATATTAAGAGCACGGTTGAGGCCTGTGAGCCTTGCCAGCAACTCCAGCCCAGCCAGCAACAAGAGCCGTACCCGTGCAATGACCTCCCAAAGCGGCCCTTTGAGTCCGTGTCCGCCGACTTCTTTAATGTGGCCGGAAAGTCTTTCCTGGTGGTCGCCGACAGGCTCTCTGGATGGCCCGTGGTAGTTCCCTGCGGTCGGGACACCACCTCTTCCAGGGTCATCCGGATGTTCTGTCGCTTCTTCCGGGAAGTCGGAGTGCCTCTCCGCCTCCGAACCGACGGTGGGCCCCCGTTCAATAGCCACGAGTTCAAGAGCTTCGCCGAACGCTGGGGCGTCCACCACATCGTCACCTCCCCTCATTACCCGCAGGCGAATGGCCACGCCGAGGCAGCGGTAAAGTCCGTAAAATACCTCATCCTCAAGACAGCACCAACGGGGAACCTGGACTGCGAGGAGTTCGACAGGGGCCTACTAGAACTCCGTAACACCCCTACCCCTGCCGGACGCTCTCCTGCCCAGGTGTTGTATGGCCGCCCCCTTCGTACTCGTGTGCCTGCCCACCCCCAGTCCTTCTTAGATGAATGGCAGATCAAGGCGGACGAGTGCGACCGCAGTGAGGCTGCCCGGATGGCCCAAGTGACAAGCCACTATGACGCCCACGCCCGCCCCCTTCCCAGGTTGACCGTCGGCCAGCAAGTACGAATCCAGGACCCGACGTCACACCGCTGGGACAAGGTCGGGGTCGTCATGGGCCGTGGCGAGTCTCGTTCGTACCAAGTCCGCCTCCCCAGTGGTCGTGTGTGGTGGCGAAACAGACGCCATCTCCGCCCAGTGCCATCCTCTAGTGACGAACCTTCCTCCCCGTCCCCTGTGTCCCCTTGCCCAGACCAGGAACGAAGGTCGTCAGTTGATCCTCCCATTGTCCCTCGCCGCTCCCCCCGACTCATGGAAAAAGAGTCCGTAGACCGCTCGAGATTGCACTACGAGCGTAAAGGGGGAGGGAGGTGTATAGATATGTGAACACGCCTGACGCCAAGACTCTGTTACCATTCATTGTACCATTTATTCACATGTCTGTATTACTACATATTATTATACCATGTCTGATATCTATGCTTATGTCTAATGCCTATGTTCACTCACTAGGCCCCGATATACTATGTCTGTACCGCGCTAGTCGAGTAACTAGAGGACCTCAGTCATTGTCCTAGTGATGTCTAGCAACTCTCCTTGCCCGGCTAGACAACATCCCTCAGATCAGCCTCGGCCTCCCTACGGTCCGGGGCCCCTTGTGTCCGTCCCTGTATCGGTCGGCTATCACGCCAAGTCTTGTACACTTATTGAATATACCTACTGCTCGTGCTCTGGAGTTTCAAGAACCTTGTCTAGGATTACATCCATTACAACCCTCAATACCAAACACCACAGGTTTCCCAGTCCCCATTTTCCTCCTGTACTAACACTGGGTAGACCGTCCAAACAGCTAGCAAGCTGATAAGTGGTGAATATGATAAAAAATAAAAACAAAATAAAAAACAATAATGACAGTTATGAAATGAAAATAAATAAATAAATAATATAAATTTTTACAGTGCAACATTTTAATTAGAAATATCACCCCATATAACGTGAAAACCCTTTCTTTATACACTTGCGACAAGGGAGTATAGTAACCAGTGTTAACTCGTGCTGCAAAAAAGCACCATTTTTGTGCTATAAATCAAAACTGAACCAGAAGACTCACAGGGTTCATTCCAGTGGTTTGTTCTGACTGCCGATGACACAAGACTTTTTGAGGTGACTGTACAATACCCATATAGGGACCAGGGACTGGTGATAATGAGTTATATAGGTATCATACTACCATGGTTATTAATGTGCAAATAATTTTTCTACAGAAAATTATTTACAGAGTATTCTTAGAACATATCCATTCAAAACATAATTAATTTTGTTGACTCGTGTCTGTAGGTCAACAAAAAAAATTAAATCTACAAAGCACTTGTAGTCAGCCCAAACTTAGTAATTATGGAATGAAAAAATAAAAAATATATATTTAATGCCAATATATAACTTCAATGCAATCCCTGAACTAACCCACATAGTTAAAAATTAGGTATTACAATAAGACAATTAAATTACCTGCTGCTGTGTGATTGGTTCAGCCATCATAATGCCCGGGAATTAGTCTGAACAAAAAAAGAGACTACAATTAGATGAAATATTAACACTTATTTAGAAAACATCAAAAAAGTTATCTAACTAGAAGGTACGGTACTGAATGTCCAATTTCTCCTTTTATTCTGTAACATGAAAAAATAAATAAAAGAAGAATTACTGTACAGATATTCTATATTATTAAATTTCATAACTGTAGTACAGTAGAATACTCAAATCTTTTGTAAAATCCGATAGGTTATTTCATAAAGAACATTTTCAGTTGACAGATAGCTACTGTATTGTAAAAATTTTTATGAATTGTGTAACAGTAAAAGACAATGGTCCGAATTAACCTGTATATAAATTATTTCCCCCAACCTCAGGAATAAAGCAAATCATGTCAAGCAATAGCCCATTTAAAATTTTGGTCCCCCCCTCGCAGTTTTCTCATAAATAGAGTTTCTGTGTCATTCACCCAATGAGGATACTATACCATCTTGTTTGTTACACTTCAGTTAGTTGTTTATGTAATAAGGAATATGAACATTTCATAATCCATTTTCACACTCGCTGAGAAAAAACGGCAGGAACAACTTCAGAAAACTTTTGTATAAACATCATAAGTCATTTGTGTTAAAAATATATTAATGCTTGTATCCCAAAAAAGGACAAATAATATACAGATTTGCAGCTTCCTAGCAGAAGTGTTGTCCTCCTTTCCAGATACCTGTACACAAATAATTCCAGAGAATGTTATGTTCCTTTGTACAGTAATAAAAATTTACCATAAATAAGATCAACCAACAAAAACTACCTAACCTAATATCCTATGATAGAAGTATATTACTATTATTTTAGGTAAGATTATACAGTACAGTATTAGGTTTGGTTTGTATAGAAAGGAAGGACGGTTGATCACTGACTGGGAAATGTTCCGTCGCCTAACATTTGGGGTCAGTTAGGATTGGAAGCACTTGGAGATTGTGCAGACATTGAAGAAAAATAACACATAAGAGTGCACTTCCAAACAGAACTACCTTATCCTTGAGGCATGAAACAAGTTTTTCTCTAGAGGATTTCCATCAGGTACATAGTTGGTTCACCCAGACCCTTGTTCTGAACTATTACCATGATTTTTTCCACCCTAAGCACCAAGTAATCTTCACCTGCACTCTCCAATGCCACATTTCCATTACTCCATTGCTTACATCTTTTCATTTAATTTTACGGAATGGATACAGGTATGGCAGCGGTGCACCAAAAATCACGTTTGGATATAGGTCCGGCAACCGTTTTGATGGGCTGTTGTTAATGGTTAGGTTATGTTATTGGGTAGGGTAGGTTACCGGTAAAACAAAATTTCTAAGAGATATAAACAGTGGAGCCCGGCTGTGCTTTATGTTTACGATAGAAAAAGCAGTGAAAAATAATATAACAAATAACTAAACTAGTTCTTCCCAAACCTTTTGTGTTAAGAAAGCATTTACCTCTAACAAAATGACTCCAAGTGCTGGTTCAGGTACAATATCGTCCTCTAATAGTACTGTACTAGAAATGAAGTGAAAACCTTAATGAGTTACTGTATTTGCAACAGTAACTCAGTTTGTGCTCATGAACTGTACTGTACAAGCTAGTTTGCTCACATAAAGTTTGAATTTTCCTCTGAACGCTACTACGGCGCTGTACTACTATTCCACAAACACCAGCTTAAAAGAATAAGTTATATGCCAGGGATATACAAAGACCAAATTAGGTTAGGTTAGGTTAGACTCTTTTCGTTATATTTTTAATTCAAGTGATAGGAATAGTCATAATTCAATAATAGACAATAACTATGTATCTCCCAAAGCTCTCGATATTTCTACTTTATTTGGCATGAAAAATCTGCATTATAATTGTTTTTCATGTCTACATTGTAAGTGAGTGTTTGCAGAATACTTACTCAAGGTTGATGACGATTTTTCTTTCCAGTTTTAAGTGTCGCTCCTCCACAAAGGTCCTGTGAGGCGCCACCAAACTATCTAACCCTATAATAAAAAGCTATCGTTTCCCACAAGAACAAATTATACAGTATTTCACAAGTATCTACACCAGTCATTTCGATAATTATAATTTTGTATTCCCGAGCTATGGGTATTTTACTAGAGAAAATGCCCATTAACTCTCAAATGGCCTCAGAACAAGGTAGTTGGAGCCTCGGCCCGAACACACGCAATAAGGGTGTTTATCCAGTGTGACCCTCACTACCATACACCACAGGTTTCCCGGTCCCTAAATTCCTCCTGTACTAACACTGGGTAGACACCGTCACCACCCGAACGGCTAGTAAGCTGAAAAATGGCGAAAATTATATAAGAAATGCACATATTTCTTTAGATCTACAGTATTGTTATTTAATTAGTTACCTCATTTCCACACAAGTACTCCACTCAAAATAATGTCTTATTGACTTTCTTTTGTTGAATTTACTTATCTTTTATTACTGCATTGAACCAATGTAAATTTGTATTATGATATTACTGAATAAGTAGCTACTTTATCTTGTCCGCCAATGATGGGCTTTTGGCTGGTTGGCTATTTGGGCATTCGTTATTTCTCTATTACGCCCTGGTGACAGTTACTGTTTCAATATCAGTGACAATTACTAGGCATGCACGGGTTATAGAATGTACCAGAACAGATGCTTAGCAAAGTCAAAGTACTGTAGTGTTATATCGTACCGACTTTTGGTCAGTGAGTGCATAAAAACTATTGCACAAGCCTGACGCTTTCATTCAGAATATTAATAATAAGCATAAAATTAAAAGAAATGGAAAAGGAAAAAAATTAAATCATAAATACTATTAGATTGGCATATAAACTACTTTTTATTAATTTTTACAAGGGAAAGTGAGCCATGTTATGCAGCAAAGAAAGCACTAGCGATAATAATTCTTTCGCAAACAACTTGATAATTATCGTACATCGGATAATTTCAATACGAATCTGGCGCCTACACTGGCGGACTCGAGGGTCACTGTGGGCTATTATGAAAGTGTTATTGATACAGTACTCACCCCTCAAGATGTGAAGTACACGAAAGCGCTTAGGAACTTTGTGTTTTCTTCTTTCCTTGTGGTTATCAGCATATACCTAGATCACGCGCACCTACAGTGATTTACTTGCATATATATATATATATATATATATATATATATATATATATATATATATATATATATATATATATATATATATATATATATATATATATATATATATATATATATATATATATATTTTTTTTTTTTTTTTTTATTCACACGAGTGTAAAATTCTGTTTATTGCCGTTTACAAAGGCCTTTGCCAATATAAAAATTGCATTGCAATGTCACAGTGGGTTTTGTATTACAATGATAGACAAAAGTCGTGTCATAAAATTTGGTGAAAACATAATTATGCCGAAGGCCAGAAGGACTAAACGTTAGGTGCGCTCACGAGTTATATTTAATCTTCGGACAAAACCGCAATAAGACTTTTGTCGTGGAAATTGAATATAAACAGCTACTGGGGTGCAGTTAAACAAGATGGTTAGCACTAATGCCTGCTGTTGAGAGAATTCTTAGAATGTTTCTTGGTCTAAGTCGGATTTTCTCAGTCAAAGCAAGTGCTGTTAAAAGACACTACAATATATTATATTGTATACGGATGCCTGGCAACTCTTAAGATCCATGCCTAGATGAGCAAAAGGTCCCCAGTGAATGGAAAATGGCTTATGCAAGTCCTATATTCAAGCAATGTGATCGCCACTCTACAAATAATTACTGTATAGACAAGTGGGCCTGACCAGCATAGTGTGGAAAGCACTAGAGAGCATTATACCCTGTAAGCGATGCTATGACGAAGACAATATTTTCGAGCCGATCTCAGCATAAGTGGCACCCCCAGGGCGCAGATTGTCTGAGGTTGAGTAAAGGAATCCCTTGTCTCTGGCTTACTTAGAAGCAAAAGGGTTATAATAATAAATATATTTATTTTTATCTTATCCTCACAGGCATACTTTCATGTGACCTCATAAGCCGATGACGCCAAGTTATTTTGAGAAATCAAGAACCAAGCGGACTGTGAAGAGCTGCAGAAGGACCTCTGTGGGCTCCAAGAATGGTCGAAGAAATGGCTGCTGAGATTCAATGTCACGAAATGAAAGAGGTTGCACCTGGGGCGTACCAACGGTAAGGAGGCGTATCATATGTCCGAACGGGATGAAGAAACTGCACTCAGTAAACTAATTACTCTGCAATCGAATCGTGGACCAAATATTCATAATCAGCAAGCTCAGGAGTATCCATCCTGTGATTTTCAACAAAATCAAAGTTTTGGCCAAAAATCACCAAAAATGTAAGTCTTACACCTTAAAAAATTTTTGACCAAAATATACTTTTCTCTCAGAATTGAAATTTAACGGGTTTAACTATTTAAGTACTTTCAGAATAACACACAAACCCTAAATCACACCCTGGAAACCCATAGTCGATGAGTATGTGGGGTATGGGTTCCAGATGTTTGGTTCACACTCAGGATGGGTTGGAGAAAGGAAACTCACAATGTGCTCTCTATATACATGTTGTATTGGATGTACAATGCAGCTTGGTGCTGGGAAGGCAGCATGGTTATAAGCGTGATGTAGAGAGAGCTGGTTGGTGAGGACGCTCAGAGAAGGACAGCTTGTGGGTCGCCATGCTCGCCAGCGGGAGAGAGGACCGAGGGAAGGCCGCCAGGCAGCGGCGGAGGAGGTGTTGCTGGCTGGTTGGTGTAGGTAGAAAGAGCGGCAGATCACCACGAGGTCAGGTCTTAAATAGCGGGGGTAGGCGTGGCTTAGCAGTTGACCCCCGCTCCGTGGTGTATGGCGGCGCTGGTTGACCTAGACCACGAGGCATACACTGGGGAATTGGTGGGGTCGGCTAGGCAGCGACAAACAGCGTTTGTAGGGGAGAATTCCACTACAATACTCCCCCTTCCCTCCAGGCTGTGTAGGAGACTTGTTGTCTGCAGGGTTGCATAGCACATGTGAGGCAGAACGGGCGGTGCGTGCCTCATGTGAGACAACGGCGATGGCGTGGATGAGCCGGTCGCTGGGGACAACTGTCTAGATACACAATATCTGTGGGAGTAGAGAGGGAGAATAAGGGTGTGTGGAGGCGATGAATTTTGTGCTTCCCTCACGGCAGGTACAGAGTCGTCAGATGCGCCTGCTGGGGTGTGTGGGCCTGGGTCAGGAGCAGGGGCTGTGTCAGCAGCAGCGGATGAGGGCTCGTGACAGCAGCTGGGTCCACAACAGCAGCAGGGTGCAGGACATTAGCAGGGAGTACCTGAGGGAGAAAAGAGGGGTGTGTGGGTCCGCACTCAGGAACAGAGGCCGCATCAGGGGCGGCAGGGGTTACTGCTGGGCCGGGGTCGGCGTCTGAGGCAGGACGGGTGTGCTGGGGTTGGAAGAGGAGCGACTGTCTGCTTAGAGTAGCAGAGTTGCTCTAGGGTGTCTGACCTGCGGTGTAGAGACAGTAGCTGTAGAGCCGATGAGAGCTGCTTCTGGGTGGATAAGCCAGTCTTCCATGTTGCTTGAAGACTGGGAGCGTGATCAGTTTCTCCTCCATCCTGTGTGAGTGCGAATCTCCAGGGGTCACCATTTGTGGGGTATGGGTTCCAGATGTTTGGTTCACACTCAGGATGGGTTGGAGAAAGGAAACTCACAATGTGCTCTCTATATACATGTTGTATTGGATGTACAATGCAGCTTGGTGCTGGGAAGGCAGCATGGTTATAAGCGTGATGTAGAGAGAACTGGTTGGTGAGGACGCTCAGAGAAGGACAGCTTGTGGGTCGCCATGCTCGCCAGCGGGAGAGAGGACCGCCAGGCAGGCGGAGGAGCGAGGGAAGGCCGCCAGGCAGCGGCGGAGGAGGTGTTGCTGGCTGGTTGGTGTAGGTAGAAAGAGCGGCAGATCACCACGAGGTCAGGTCTTAAATAGCGGGGGTAGGCGTGGCTTAGCAGTTGACCCCCGTTCCGTGGTGTATGGCGGCGCTGGTTGACCTAGACCACGAGGCATACACTGGGGAATTGGTGGGGTCGGCTAGGCAGCGACAAACAGCGTTTGTAGGGGAGAATTCCACTACAAGTAATTAGCATTGAAAAATGTCAGTAAAATCTTTCAAGGGTCACTTTGGCCGCAAATTACTTCGCAATTGAATCGTGAACCACATATGAATAATCAGCAAGCTCAGGAGTACCCATCCTGTGATTTTCAGCAAAATTAAATTTTTGGCCAAAAATCACCAAAAATGTAAGTCTTACACCTTACAAAATTTTTGACCAAAATATACTTTTTTCTCAGAATTGAAGTTTAAGGGGTTTAACTAATTAAGTATTTTCAGAATAACACACAAACCATAAATCACACCTTGGAAACCCATAGTTGATGAATATTAAGCATTGAAAAATGTCAGCAAATCTTTCAAGGTTCATTTTTGCCACAAATTACTCTGCAATCGAACCGTGGACGATATACTCATAATCAGCAAGCTCAGGAGTACCCATACTGTGATTTTCAGCAAAATCTAATTTTTGGCCAAAAATCACCAAAAATGTAAATCTTACACCTTACAAAATTTTTGACCAAAATATACTCTTTTCTCAGAATTGAAATTTAATGGGTTTAGCTAATTAAGCACTTTCAGAATAACACACAAACCATAAATCACACCCTGGAAACCCATAGTTGATGAGTAATTAGAATTGAAAAATGTCAGTAAAATCTTTCAAGGGTCATTTTGGCCACTAATTGCTCTGCAATGGAATCGTGGACCACATAAGAATAATCAGCAAGCTCAGGAGTACCCATATTGTGATTTTCAGCAAAATCTAACTTTTGGCCCAAAACCACCAAAAATGTAAGTCTTACACCAGTGGTGTCAAATTCAAAACCTTTCGAGGGCCAATTCTTATTTTAGTTACCCTCTTCAGGGCCAACACAAGTGCTATATCACATATTTGCAGGATTGAAGTTTACAGCTTCATACATTGCCTTACCTGGCTTACCAGGAATACCTCATTTGGGTTTGTTCTGATTTTAAATATATGTTAAATTCATTTTACTAAATAAACATGATTATATCTATTTCTTTCATAATTTCACGGGATGATAAATTTTACCATCATCCCGTGGGCCACACCTGACCATCCTAAGGGCCACATTTGGCCCGCGGGCCATGAGTTTGACACCCCTGGTCTAAATGGTCGTAAAATGGGAAAATTGGGGTTGGGTCTTGGGTGCCTGGAACCAATTAGAATAAATTCCATAGGTTCTGTACTTTCTTTATCGCTTTTTTCGTTATCACGCACTCGGCGAGGTCCCAATTAGGTGTGATAACCAAGGGATGACTGTAGTTAATTTATATTCATTCAATTTGACCAAAGACAGCTGACAAGGCCATGAGAGGCCTGTTTTCAGTAGAGTCCTAATCACTGCTAACTGTCCTAAAAGTGTCAGTTCGGGGAAGACGCTTAGCTCAACAGTAATAAGGAAGAGTTTTGAGAGATCTCGTCTCTCTAGTAATCAGTTAGTGACTGGAAGCAGATGGTAGATAATAGAATGGTCCTGGGATTTGACAAGATGGTAGCCTGTAGCTGTCAATAGGTGTGTACGGTACTGTTAAGGTGGGCACAAGCTCTATTAGACCTACTTTTATAGGACAATCTGTCAACTTAATCTCATTCTTCTGAGGCTGAGGGAGGATGAATGATTGTAAGACCAGACCCTACTGTAGCTGCACTGGGAGGTAAGGTGAAATAAACCAACATTGTACAGTATCTAATGACTGACAACTCTCAATTAATGGCAGTTATGGAAAAAGCATTACCAGTATCTAGCAAACCTCCCAATTGGCAGTACATTCAATGACTATGTAGGTCCAGTTAGTTCCAGACCAAATTTTACCATTATTTCATGACATTCAAACAATAATCACCCCTTAAGACAGAATAATACTCATAAAATAATAAAAAATAAAAAACTCAAGTTCAGTTATCATGGCTGTGGATGAAGCTCATACAGTACAGTACAGTACTGGCATATATTGTGACGTTTATGATTCTGAAGCTGTATGATCTTGTAGCAACTCATAGATATACCTGTACTGTAGAATTTGTTTATTATACAAATTATAAAACAATATGAAAATGAACTTCAAACTTTACATAAAGACACCCTTATATCTGTAGGTGACACCATGCAGCTGCAGCACACTGTTGCCAGACACTGCAACGGTATCATGCAGCAAATAACAGTTAGAAATTTATTTTTCAATTAATCATTTCCACCACTTGTCAGCTAACTAGCCATTTGGACAGTTAGTCTCTAATTTTGTTATGACTCATTTACCAGTGTTAGTACAGGAGGAAACCGGAGTAACCGTAGAAAACCTGCCTGTGATGTTTGATAGTCACACCATTCTCACAACTGACCTGAAAATTGAACCATGATACAATGAAGCAAGTGTGGTCTTGCTGCTGGTGTTGTTTATAGATATTCAATAATCATTTTACCCCTAAATTGCAGTACATAATGTCTTATAAGTGACTTTTATAGCATATATTCCTGGTTCTAGTTCTTCTAAAAGAAAAAGGGGCTGCTGAAAAAATTTAATCTGGGTGTTTCTATCACAAACTACAGTATGTGAAATCAATGATGTTCTTTACATACATGCATAATTATTATTTTTTTTAGAAATCTCCCTAAATTTGTATAATGAATACAAAATTAAAGAACTCCCAGTGCTTCACCAAGCAGTGAAAGAGGTGAAATTAGATACATGAGCATGGTGAAGGAATAAGAGGTGACGATCAGCCAGGAGAGAGAGAATACGAAGCACAAGATTCTCAAAAATAATTAATTACCACAACTTATAAAATTATTTTATGCCTTCTTATAGTTATTAAAAGGTTATTGTTTTAATAACATACAAGTGATAAATATGAGTGTAGATGGATGCACAGTACTGGCTAGCTCATGTGGAGTAGTCGTAGTGGTTGATGGTCACTGTTCGGTTGACTAACTGCAAGATGGAGTTTATGCACACACCGTTCCTTTGCATTACATTTACTGGGTAATTTTTCTCATTAAGTGTTTCTTTACAGAAAAAATCTTTTAGAATGCATGCTGCAAGAATAACATGAAGTTGTGACAGGACATCTGATCATTAGTGTTAGGATGACAAGCACCCAACTATGGCTGAGCATGGCCTGAGATGTGTGAGTTTTATATAAAGTACTGTATGGTATTGCATTTCAATTTATCATTTTATTAATTCAGAAATTTAACATTTCTTTAAACTGAATAATTGTCACATTATTACCTGTTTATTAATTACATTTACCCATCATGATGTATGTCAAATTTGTATGCAAAGAAATCTATAACTTCATAGAGCATCAGGCTATGTGTTGCTAATAGTAATGTACTACTAATTATTGACCTTCTATTTAACAGGAATTCTTATTGTCTTGCACGGCCTATGTCCCAAAGGCTGCCAGATAAGAGAGGGCCATCCTGTAGTAGAAAATACACGTAATACAGACACACACACGCACATAATGTTACATACCAATAGATATTCAATGCAGAGGCACTCACTTGGAAAGCAGAGTGGGACACTAGGAATTTGTTAGAAATTTGAAACAGACCTGGATCGCTTTTAATTCTGTTTATTAGGCAACAACATGGTGTTCACTGATAAAAAATCTATTAAACTATAAACCACTACATGGTAATCTCCTAACAGAATATTTAAAAAGTTGTGCCACAACTTTACCATGAGGTTTTCTCTAACAACAGAATATTTTAAGTATCTCCATACTGTACAGTACTGTACTCCACAAATAAATGCTTGGGGTCTAGCTATTACTTTTATACAACAAAATGAAATTACAGAAGGTGACAATGTATATTAACCCAAACAATTAGGACTTCTAAAGCACTGAATTAATTTGATTCTTTTAATCCACTGAGAACCACCTCTTATATCTAAATCTTAAGATAAATCTGTTTACCGGAACTTTTAATAATCAAAATACAGTAAATACATTAAGATACATAAAAAAGGTACATTTATTTACAATGATAATTGTCTACCTAAAATACATGAAAATAACTTAGAACATATTTAACTTTTTTATATACAGATACAGTATACCGTGTCTAAAATTCAGTGGCAGTTTGTACAATACTGTGATGGTGTAAAAGGAACTTAATTCCTGCCCTAATAATAAAAACCATTAATGGAATTATTGTAAGAAATATTAATGTACAGTATATTAAGATCTGAAATACTATAAATAACAAACTATTTCAAAGAAAAGAAACACTATTTTCCTAAAAGTATTTGTACTTAAAATTCCACGTGGTATCTGGATTTACCATAAAGCTCCTCATACAAATTGTATCAAACAGCTATTTACAATTAATCATAATAATCATCATAGTATTCATCATTTTCATTGAATTCTCCTCTCCTTCTCTGTAGGAGTTGTAATGTGGACAAGCTGCTCTCATCCTCTTCTTCTGGGTCATCTTCCTCATGCTCCTCCTCCTCCTCCTCTTCTTCATCATCTTCATCTTGTTTAACCTTTATAGAATCACTATTCCCATCACGCATTGTCTTCTTTGGAGTTTTATCTTGTTCCTCTCTGCTAGGATTTCTAGGACGCTTTCCTGTTAATGATTCAAGTACGGATGAAATACCTTTTGGAGTTTCTACAGGAGATGCTTTTAAAATTTTGGAGTTTGGTTTCTCTTCTTTAATATCAACTTCTTCTTCTTCACCATCACCATTCAAACTGCGGAGAACATCGTAATTAATCTTATTTGATATCTTTTTATCCATCAGCATTTTCTCAATTGCCTCTCCAGCTGTATTAGCAGGAGTGTTACTTTTGGGCTTTTTGGTGTAGTTTTTCTTCTTTTTTGGTGGTTTTCCTTCCTTTTCTCTCTCTTCAGCTTCTTTTTGTTCCTTCTCCTGCTTAATCTTCATCTCTTCTATATACTCTTTGTTTTTTTTCATCCACAATTCGGTTTTTAGCTTTATCTCTCTATGAGACATAATATATGAATCTATTTCATTATCATCAATTCCAGCCAAATCTAAGACTCCATTATCTTCAGGTTCAGGATCAGCAGGACGTATCTCCATGCACTCCTCTATAGTCTCTTTTAAGCCAAGACTTGCTGCAGAAGGCCCAATTCCCTGTGGTTTAATTTCCTTTTTTACTTCTTCTTCACATATTTCATCAAGGCAATTGTTAATTGACTCTAAAGTTGCTTCAGTGATAAATTTTTGAGTGTCAGCATTTTCCTGTTCTACATATTCTTCTTCAACATGTTCCTCTTCTTTGTCATATTTAGCCCATAAACCACGCAGTTTTCTTTTTCTTTCCTCCAAATGTTTCTCGATTTCTTGTTGAAGTTCACTTAATTCATCATCCAAATCTACTTGCTCTTCCAAGAGCATTTGAACTCTTTCTCTTTCCCGTTTTCTAGCTGCCCTAAAAGCTGGAGGATCTTGTTCCTCTGATAAGTCCACAGTCATAAACTCTTCTAAGGTCAGGGCACTTGATGGGGTCTCACCAAATTCTGTCAAACGTTTTCTTAATGTTGACTCATGAACCTTCACAACTTTTATGACATCAGTTATGGTGCGATTGAAGTTATGGAGCCGTGCAGCAATCACAAGTGCTGCACCACAAACCCCAGATGGTCTTCTACCAGTATGCATCCAGTCACGCTTCATCCGTTTTACAAGCCGTAATGCCGTTTCTGATACATCATGTGTTTTATCACCAAACGAGAGTTTATATGCAAATCTACAAATATAAAGACATGGATCCATTGCAGGAATATTGATACACAAGGCTGTTGACAATCTAAGGTATGTCCGACCAAGCTCGTAAACATCAATTTGCAGGGCATCACTAACATCAATTAGCATATGAGCTGTTCGTTCTGTTCTGCAAGTAATATATACACAAGCACCAATAACATGATTCGTTTTTCTGCCACGTGTAAGACCCTTGTTTAATCCCAACTTAAAAAAATTAAACGAAGTCTCAATACTATGTTGATTGAGACGTAACTGCTGTGCAAGAGCATTAATCTTCTTTTTTGCATTATTAAGTGTAATTTCTTTACTTTCTCTGGCAAAGGTTCCATGAAAACCTTTGAACATTGGCCGTTTGCTAACAGAATCTGAGGCAACAAACTGACCAACAGCTGAACTCCCTCCATGAGAATTTTCAAGAAACTGAACTTCACTGACTATATTATGTTCTGACAGAACTGTACCACAAGAGGTACAGACGGCATCTCCACGAGCAGGATCAATGTCAATATCACCACAGCCACAATGTTGACAACGTGACGACATCTTGCCTCTTTCATCTGAAAATCAGAATAACATCATGTAAGAGCAGAAAAAATATATTTCTTCAAAAATTATTTTCATGACATTCACTATATGGTAAACCAGGCATGGGCAACCAGCAGCCCGGACCTTGTGTTTGTGCGGCCTGTGGAGTGACTGAGAAGTTCTATTTAATGTAGCCAGCAGTTCACTTAGATGCAGCCAGTTTAAGGTGAGTAAAGCAATATTTATTTAAAGAATAATCTTCACACACAATTCGTTACTGTTTCATCACCTAAGAGTAAGTAACTACCAAAATGTAACAGTGAAATAATTATAGATAATCGACAATATAAACATTTCAACTTGTGTGAGTTTACGGGGCAAGTTCTGCGTGGTTTGTTTGATGGACTAGCTGCTATATGGCAGTGGGTCACTTGGGAATTAACAAAGGTTGGGTAAGTCTAAGTGTGGTCACGGGCAGTGGTCACACAGGGTTTAACTAATTAAATACTTTCAGAATAACACAAAAACCCTAAATAGCACTCACAAACCCATAGTTGGCGAGTGATTAGGATTGAAAATACGCAAATAAAATATTCCAAGCATCATTACAGCCACTAATTACCCTGCAATTAAATCGTGGACCCCAATTTCGGAATTAGCATATGGCTTAGTAATTTTTTGAACAAAACAAACTTTTCTCTTGGAATTGGAATTTAATGAGTCTAACTGATTAAGTACTTCCAGAAAAACACAAAAACACCAAAATCACACCTCTGAAACCCATAGTTGGCGAGTACAGGGCTGCCTCACTTATCGCAAAAGTTGCATGAAACTCGTTGCGAATAGCGGAGCCATTTCTCCCATAAGAAATAATGTAAATATGGGGGATACGGGCATCATGGTGGTCACGGCCGTCAGATTTTAACACTTGTTTTACTCAATACATATAGAACATAAAATAAAAAAAGAAACAAGGGCATATCAAATAAACATCAATGACAAACAATTTGAGTTTATTAGGCGTATATGTTTACAAGTACAGTACAGTATTCTGGCGTACTTTACATGTTTGAGTGTATGAGTGTTTGAATGCTTATGTGCGTAGGTGTGTGAGGTAAGTTTTAAACGTAGACATCTCGGAACCTCGTCACCTTCGTAGCCTTCAGTGGTGTTGCAGACCCGGCCATCTCCTAGATCTTGTCGGCGCTTTTTCCTATAGAATGCACCGTAGAGAGAGCCAAGCCATGCACGCTCCCAATCACCGACGTTCCTTCTTTGTGTTCATGTCTTTTTATGATATCCAATTTCACATCCAACGTAACTGCCACACGTGATCCCTTAGCAACATTGCTGGGTGTTTTAGTAGCTGGTCGCTTAGGCATTGCAAGATCACACAAAGCACACGCCAGCACGCGTGAGACTGAGGTGAGCAGGAGCGAATGGTGGAGGAATACGTACACATGCTGTCCTACGCTACAGTTGAGACGCGCTGTTCAAAATTCTTGCTCGTAAGAATTTGCAAATAAACGGGTCAACCATTGAGATTAGTAGAAATGGGTAACAATAAAATGATTGCGAATAAACAGGGTTACGAATACCACTAATTATCCCACAATCGAATCGTGGACCATAGATCGGAATCGGTATACTCAGGAGTACCTACACTGCAATTTTAAACGAAATATAATTTTGAGTTGAAACTGCCAATATATATGCAGTGATATATCTCCGTTAGCCGTAACAATTGGTGCAGAGCACTTCCAGGAATGAGATATTTCTGGGTAATGAGACGACTCTCTCAAAGCCGGAAAAAATCCCTCATCCCCAAAATTTTCCGGGAATGGAAAAATGTTCTCGGAAGTTCCAAAAAATTGCCCATTACAATACACCATCTTTAATCTACTTAACATAACCTAACTATACCTACCTACCTACATGGCAAATTCACAGGGAAGCATTCAGTTGCTTAGCGTTGGGTCTTTCACTAGGAACTTGACAAAAGATTAACCATAAACATGGCATTTGCATGTGGACCAACTGTATTTACTCTTTACAAACACTAGAGGAAAACAAATGTTGAAAAATTACAATAGGTCTTATATATATATATATATATATATATATATATATATATATATATATATATATATATATATACATATATATATAGAGTTGTTTGACTGTTGTTTGACTAAACTATTACTCCATGATATATGTGTAAAATTTAACAAAGCTGAAACCACAAGCCCAGAAAACTGTGAGGGCAAACTTTTTTGGGAGTGAGAGTTGTGAACTCTTGGAACAACCTGCCAGAGAGTATTTCAAGACAAGACTTGATCAACACTGGAGCAGGTTTCGATACATTCAGGAGCCGGTGAATGCCCAGTATTTTCCAACAGTGCGTAACAGAGATGTAACCAACTGCCCAAGTGACTAACAAGCCAATCAGTGGTGAAGGGGATAAAATTAAGAGATTATCTAGATTACCAAATTCAGTCACTTACAAACATGGTTAAGTTAGGTTTGCAAGTTAGTAACACTAGATAATAAAGTTTGTAATGAAGAACAGACTGCTTTAATGGATAGTAAGTAGATAAGTAGTGAAATGATAATAAATAAATAAAATAAAACACGATATAGATATGTTTGGTTGTCAGTTAGGTATTTTTAGACTAACACCAGAAGGAGATGATAGAATTAGACAAAACTTCGTGGAAATATTAATTACAATCCATTTAATAGATAAATGGAAGCGATAAAGCACAAAACCTATTAGAACTTTACCTAACCAACCAAACCTAAAAAATCTACCTAACCCTACCAAGCTTAACAGAAAACCTTTTAAAACATAACTCACGACACAAAATGGAGTCTCGTTTCAATTTATCTATTTAATAGATCGTAATTAATGTTTCCACAAAATTTCATACAATCTATCACCTCCTGCTATAGTCTAAAAAATCTACCACCAGACAACCAGACAAATATCCACACCAAATAAAATAATATTCTTGGATCAGCCATATACAGTGGCTATTTGTCCAGTCATGATGTCATCAATCTCGGTCAATCAGAATAAATGTCAGACAAAGACTGCATAAAATAAAACACTATCTTAATTTTTTTGACACTGACACATTTATCAGCCATACTAAATGGCTAATAATTCCAAAGTAAAAAATCAAATTGTGAAAAATATTTCTGCTAAATTAAGGCAAATTTCCTTGACTAATCACCATAAAATTTAACATATTCAGGGATTCAACGTATCCTAACTTCATTGTAAATTAGATACTACACGTTATGCACACAACTGTACACATAGGACAACAGTGCTGGGTATATCTACTTCCAAATTAAGTGTAATGCAATAGTAAAAAAAACAAACAATAACAACAAACCTCAACATGATTTTTGGATATATTGATTTACTTCGTCATTTCCAACATTTTCTGTACATGAATTACACAAAAATTATAATAGCCACTTATTTTGACACTTACCAAACGTTTACACCTACACAACCGTATCAATAACCACTTATTTCCTTTGAATGTAATAATTCCTTGAGAGGAGCTTCAGACGATACTACACAGCGCCATGTTTACACCTCGCTTAGTCTCCTAGTCTGCAATACTGCACTGCTCTACTGCAACATATTTCAAATAAACGATTGTAAATTTTCTGCTAGATACCAAAAGGTTAACCTATTTCTACTAAGGAATTAGATTAATACAACTCAGAATTTACGCAAAAAACCGACGCTAATCTACTAAACTGGATTTCTCATTAACCTCAAGAAATGATGCAATTAACCGATTTATTACTATATCAAACACGTGACTAAAGATACTACAGTACAGCATATATGGAGGTGGCTAATGAGAGACGCCCTTTACCGCTGTACCAAACAATTAATAATCAGACTTTGTATATGATAACCACATGTCCTTAATCTGCACTTTGAAAACTACCTATATGGATTTGTTTTAACAAAATTAGTTTTTTGGGACCCCCCAAAAAATCACAATATATACATACCCATTGAATATTCTTGGTGTCGAAAATTAATTTTGCTCAGAATCTCAGAATAGGTCGTCCTCGAAGCACTGGTTAAGGATCTGTGATCGAAATGTTGAAATTTTTAGAATTAATTGTCTTCATAGTATCCTAGAATATGAAGTTTTGATAATTAATTATGCTAATGAATATGAGGACACTTAATATTCAGAATTTCTACTTGTTGACCACAGATTCTTAATCTGCACTCACAGAAGAGGGTATTAGAAATAAATTGTCAAAGCTAAAGGTCCATAATAGTCCCGGCCCTGACATGGTGCATCCTAGAGTACCAAGAGAGTTGTGCAACGAGCTTGCCGAGCCCCTGAAGATCCTGTTTTGTAAACGCCTGGATGAACAAAAGGTCCCCAGTGAATGGAAAGTGGCTTATGTGAGTCCTATCTTCAAGAGCAACTGAAAACCGGTGAGCCTGACCAACATAATATATAAAGTACTTGAGAGTATTATCAGAGATGCCACGATGGAACATCTACTACGAAACATCCTTGTAAAGGATTGCCAACACGGTTTTATGTCGGGGCGCTCCTGCTTAACACAATTGCTCAAGGTAATGAGGCGCGACGCCTTTGGTAGAGCCGCGGGAGGGCCCCTAATACTGCTGCCGCCCCTAATATACCCCCCAATCGAATCGTGGACCATATATTGAAAATCACCATGCTCAGGAGTACCTATAATGTTATTTTCAACAGAATCTAATTTTGGGCCCAAACTGTCGAATAATTTTTGTTTTTTTTACGGGGATTAGCCCACATGGGCACAGGTCACTGACCCACATCAGGGCCTGGGGGCGAAAATGTAATAGTAATAATAATAAAGAACCATAAAGAAATACACAAATGAAAACAGATCAAAAGTGAGAAACAATATATGCATGTTGTGTTCTCAATAGTAAGAGAAACAATTGAGGCCCTGCAATTGTGTGTAAATGAGGCAGAAAGTTAGATCAGCAACCTGGGACTTGGCCACAATTTTTGTGATGCCATATGGCAGCAGGGTCTACCATTAGACAACACATTATGCTTCCAATATCTTCCCAGGCGGTAGTACCTCCCTGTTTGGTAGCTGCCTACTACCTAAAGTCTTACACCTTAGTAATTTTTCGCCCCAATTATACTTTTCTCTCAGAATTAAAATTAAGGGGGTTGAACTAATTAAGTACTTACAGAATAACACATTAACACCAAAATAGCACTTAAGAAACCCACAATTGGCGATAAATTACCACTGAAAATGTTCATCAAATTTTCCAAGCGTCGGCACCTCAGCTACCCTGAGAGATTAGAGCGCCTGAAATAGCCTAGCTTATACTACAGCTGGGCAAGGGGAGACCTAATTGAGGTGTATAAGCATCTCAAATGGCACTACTCAGTCGCGTGCCCTTACCTGTAACTGGCGGACGGTCTCCCCACAAGGGGTCACAGTTCAAGGTTGAAAAAGCCGCAAGCCCAGAAACTGTGAGGGCAAACTTTTTCGGAGTGAGAGTTGTGAACTTTGGACCATATCTGCCAGAGAGTGTTGTGACGACACCGAGTGTGAGCTCTTTCAAGACCAGATTTGACAGCAACTAGAACAGGTTCGGATACATTCAGGAGCCAGTGCATGCCCAGTACTTGCCAATAGTGCGTGACAGCGACGTGACCGATCGCCCAAGCGGCTAACGAGCCAATAAGTGGCGAAGAAGATAAAAGTAAAGTAAAAGTTACTCAATCACCTGTAGTGAGCTGAACATGAAAGATCGAAAAATCTGTCAAGTCGGGCGTGTTCAGAACTTATTTGCTTACAGTCGACCCGCGCTGTCCGCGTTTACAGTACTCTCACGTCCACAAAAAAACGTAAAATTACACAAGAAAGTTGCTTTCATTTGTACCAGACATTAAAATAAGTGCTTTCTGATTAATATGGTCCGGGTGGGGGGGGGGTGGGGGGGCAAGCTCCCAGCTAGGAAGTTAGGTCACGTTAGGTAGTTTTCTTTTTTGTTGGTTAGGTCAGGTTTTATTAGATTCTAGTAAATGTTGCCTCTTAAAATACTTATTATAATAATAAGAACATCTGTAGAAAAAATGAACGAAATCAAACAACTGGTGATGTGCTGTTCTCAGATGTTGCCTTACCTGATGAGTGATGTCGTCGAGTCCTTGCAAAAATAAAATTTAAATCTGGTCTTTCATCCATCTGCAAATGGATCTGATATGAAGCGAGAAACGAGGAGTGGAGGTGGAAGGGCCAGGGAGGTTGGTGGCATACCACTGCGGCCAATAGCTGAGCAAGGGTACTGCCACTACTGCTGCCCTCATTCATATCTATCTCTTTTTCTTGATCATAATCACTGTTATATTTCTCTAAAGAATCACCTGACTAGAAGGGCAGTAAAAATCTCACTGATAGTATAGTACAGTACAGTATTTTTTTTTCATCTCGGCGCTATACAAAAATGGCTTTAAGGCTTTATTTTCCCTAAAAGCCTAGTTTCACACTAATTTCTTTGATTTATAAAAGATATGCGTGTATACAATAAAGATAACGCTAAGTAAAACAAAATATTACATAATATATATACATTACAATATTACAAATGGTTACAAACAAGGACATAGTAATTAGGTCGTCATCAAGGTCATAGAGTATACTATGGAGGTCAACTCTTCACTGTGATGTTTGTACAGCAAGAACATTACGTACTCAAGTTCTTCGGTAAAATATAAATGCGTTGTTGAGTAAACTTATTTGTTAATATATTATGCTTGAAAGTGTACCTCATCGGCCTGATGACCTGTTAATAACAGGGCAGCACATTGAAGACTAAATCTCCGGTAGACATAACCATTTTCACTTTTCCAGTTATAAAAGTATAATACCCATTCTCAGTTGTGCGGACTGATGTCCCGGGTGCGAACCAGCGACCCTTAGGACAAGTGGAGAGCACTGAGCTGTCTGTATTCAACTAGGCCGCCACATCCCACGCTAAACTTACTTAATGGGCGGTGAAAGCTTCCCACCTTGGATTCTCTTATCGAGACATCAATTATCTCGCCACCTGGGTTATCAATTCTTCGTTATGTTTTTTTTTTTGAGAATTAAGTTACAACCTCAATAGTTTCAAGCTGCCCTCGACCTATCCAATACCGTTTTTGTTTTATCCTTTCTCACCATACAAATTCTTGTGTTGAGATGATGAGTTGCGTTTCCTTCTGTGTAAACCCTATTTAAATTCTATGATTGGTTCAAGCGGTTATGTACAGTAGTTGTCTTATGGACCGGTGGTTTATCTACCATTATTAGCAAGTGACTAGGTTTTCCTGCGACCAGATACCTTTAAGCTTCTCATTAATATTTCATTCCGATACTCGGATCTTATACAATTTTATGCGGCTACATTAATGCCCACCTTGATCATGTAAAAATCTTGTATGTTATATCGTAGAAACATGTTTTTACAGGTGTCGTGTTTGTTTTGCCTTTCATAATTTCTCAGCGCAACTAAATAAGTGGATTATACTACGCATTCTCCATATTTTCTTCTACAGAAGGTCACTTGTTACAACCTTTTTCTTCGTGTTTAGTTTATAATTATTTATTGAGTGGACTAGGATAGAGCGAGTTTCTTGATGGCCATCGGCCAAAGCAGTGAGCGCCCACTGCACTGAATACATCCGAAAATTTTGACAAGATTTAAATGTTTAAATACTTTCCTGAGATCTGATCTTCTCATCTAGCTTAAACTGTCACCAGTGAATATTACATTTTCCCCTGTTTCCGAGATATTACACTACATACTTTAGTAATTGATATATTAAAAAATTAACTGATTGTCGGTATTTTATTTACTCTTGTTTTCATGAGCTAACTGGGTGGACCGTTAAATGTTCTTGGTTTGTGTAAGTTTGGTTAAAAAGAGTTCATGTATACTTACGAGCAAAAGAAGGGATTGGGGCGCTGAGTTAATTCCTGACTGTCGACATCTCAGAAACGGGCTTAACCTCTATGTAACTTGACTTACTTACCTTACACTAACCAACACGCACATTTCCCGTTGTTACACAATGCCAAAGTCAAATGCAGAACAATTTGGATAATTAATCAAATCGCGTTGAGGGGGAAAATATAACTATACATTTCACCAGTCCTCCATAGCCTAGCTAAATATAATCCAGCTGTACTTTTTAGTGAGTTTTGTAATAGAGCAACACCCGAGAATAACTTGGAAAGGGTCACTACAGTACACGACTCTCCTGCCTAAACAAAATACTATGGTACAAATTTCTTCCCTAAGTTATAGATTTATCATATAACCATTTTGTTATTAACTGACGGCCTACGTTTAAGACTATTTATAAAATCAGATTGTACCAGCAATCGGATATACTTGATTGTCGTACCATAAATATACAAATACCTTTTAACTACTATATACAAGAGATCACCACAGCAAACCTCATGTAAATATACATTTTGCATATTCTTAAATCACATTTTTATTTGATTAATTTCCATCGTTTCTTTTTATGGATGTGCAAAATTGTACACAGTAAATTTCCGTGTTCTATCAATAACTTCTTGAATGGAAAGCACAAATGGACATTTCAATATCAGTGGATTCTACGCATTAAAAGAAACTCTTTCAGTGATTGCTGACGTATCACCTCAAATCACTAGGCCGGCATCAATAGCCTACCAGTAGCATCTCGGTATACACATAAATTTTTCTCCTCATTGGTTATTTGTTAGTAACAGACAAATTCTAGTTATTTTGAGACAATAATCTATTACATATGACAAACATAGCAAAAATAGTTCGCGACCATAATTGAATAGTAATTCCATAAATGAAAATGGAAAAGCAAAACAGTGCAAGAAATATTAATGTTGCAAGTGATTTATCTCATCGGAAAAGAAAGCTCGTTAACGTCAAGATCATCTGAGCTGCCTTCCCAAGAGGAGGCTCTCATCTTGTTCTTAGGTGGTTTTCATTCATACATTTTGTAAAATTTCATATTTAATGCACCACATTCATTACCTGCTTACCACTGCTGATCTGCTGATTTTTCGTGTTGTCATTTATACTGGATGGGTTAACTCGAAATACTATGCATGTATAGTGAAAAATTGTCTAGAAATTGTTGTTATTAATACTGTATTTTGTATTGTAATATAACAGACCAGCCTTTGCTATTGGTTTTGACGGTAAACATTAATTTAATCGACATTTGTTATTCCGAAATTCGATTAATCTTAAAACACCTTGAGTTCTGTTTTTAGTCTTCCTACTACGACCACGACTCCTAGCACTTGTACTCAGATGTTTTGTTACGAACTTCATTCTAGCAAGGACCTGATCGACAGTTCATTTCTTAATACAGGACTTTGAAGCCTCTGCTGTACTGATTATTTATATCCCAGGACACGTTCCCTCTTACCCAAATAAGGCCTTCCTTTATCGCTGATATTTATACCTGTCAAATCCAGAGTAACTATTATAAACTATGTCAGATACCGCCGTTAGTTCGCTTTACCAATAGTTCTATCTGCAGATCTTTTCCCACACAGTACATTTCCATTTCATGTCATTTAACCGGAAATCGTTACTGGAGGAGGTGAAGTTAATGTGTTGGTCCAGCATTCAGCTCACGATCTTCTCTCCTGTTCACTTTTTCCAGCCGAGACTTCGCTTGACGTCCTCGAGGCACTGCTTGCCGTAGGTTGGTTTGGCCAGGTCGGTGACAGCGTCGCGTACTAGGTCATGGAGGACAGAGGGCCAGGTGGAGTGGTGGATATGGAGGCGGTGGATGGAGTCGAAGGTCCACACCGCTAGCTGCCGTGCCTGACGTCCAGCACAGATCAGGGCCGAGCTCTCGTCCTGCCAACACACACAGAAAACACTTCACCTGCTGAATTTATTAAACTGTGAAGTACAACGAGAAGACAGTCAAATAACCACCTAATTTATACATATATTTCAGAAAACTTGATCCCATAACAAACACAGTTAACCAAACACACAATTAATTATATAATGTATATCATCACATACACACTTATAGAACAAAAGGCAGTTAAACTAACACAAATAACCAATTACACAATTTGAGATTCGAGCATATTTAGACATACGGTTAACCAATAACAAAGATTACAAAATACAGTTAACCAGTTCATTATTCCTAGAGTTAATAAGACATTTATTGACTCATGACCTATCACTCAAGACATTAACCTCTCGCACACATCAGCAGACTCACAATTGATTAAATGTTTGGGATATTCAACCAATCAAAACAGTTATTTAATTATAGAGTAAATTTTGCGCTCTCTTAATTGATCTTAGATAAAAATACTACCTAATGGAAATATATCTAAGGAAAAAATCTTGAATTATTTTTTACTGTAGAAAATATGTGTTAACCATACAAGTGAATTTGAATATTGTATAACTCGAGAAGATCACATTTTATTAAGTATTAATTATCAGGATTATTATACAGTGTCTTTGTGGTTTAGTGTTTGTTTTAGAAACATTCACACGAAAATGCCACGACCACAGATTACACGAAACGTCATGCAAGTGAGATACTGTATCACAAACTTAGGTGCAGTTAACAATAAAGATCATGATAACTTTAATGTGAGGACAAATTACATCATTGTAATATAACAGGCAGGAGCGAGAGGGAAGTGAAGGCAGATCAAAGAAATGAGGTGCTGGTGTGTCTTTTAGAATGAGTGACATAACACGTAAATTACTGGCAATCTTTTAGTGCACATCTAGGTCTTGTTTACAGGTGCACGTATGGTGCACTTTCCTCAACGGTGTGCTGACATCACCAGTGATAACAAGTGTGCACGAGTATATTTCCGTGCCACACTGCCTTACCAGAGTGGCACCCATCCTTCGTGGGTCGTTAGTGGTTGTGTTGTTAAGAACCTACTCGGATTTTTTTTTTTTAAGAAATTAGCGGCTGCTGAGGTCCAGCACTGGTGGCCCTATCCAACACCTATTGTACACCCGTTGGCCTCTCAGCACTACCACGTACAACTCAGAACTATCATGGACCATTCAGCACTACCACGGACCACCCAGCACTACCACGGACCATTCAGCACTACCATGGACCACCCAGCACTACCAGGTGACCACCCAGCACTACCACGGACCACCCAGCACTACCACGGACCACCCAGCACTACCACGGACCACCCAGCACTACTATACACTTGGTCATTGTAACACTAAGTCAAGGAACACTACCATTCTACTGCACTTGGTTTACACACACAAGGTCGTATTCTGTTTCCACCACATCAGTATAAGTTATCCAAATAAAGTATCAAGATCACTGATAAGAGGGCGGGAACGTGTAGATAAAGGGAGGTAGGATAGAGGAAGCTGGATCTCAGAAAGGTAACTGTATATTCGTTCCTCCGACTCTGAAAATGTGACATTCCAGTGAATATTTATACATTGATGGCGGGGGAAAATAAACAGTTACGCGACAATACTTCCAACTACGCTACTATTACTCCCTATTCACTAACCAATGTATAACGTTAAGATTGTCAACATGGTTTAAACTAACGATTTTAACATTATGTACCAAAGACTACAATCCAAGATCGTCACTATGTCGTTATAATGGATCTATATTGGCTATAAGGAAGTAATATGTTTCAGCAAGTCCTACTGTAAGTCAACCATACCATGATGATAAAAGAGAAACAAGTTCGTCACAACAACCTTTGGAAAATGAGGTAAATATTGTCTGGTACCTCATTATATAGGAATATACAGTATAGAAGAAGATGGAGAGAAGGGATACAAAAATATAAAGTCTTATTCCCAAGGATGAAGGAGAATAAAATAAATCCTGAGGAAAGGTTTGCTGACTGCCTCTGTGATGGTCGGAGGTAAAAGGGTTAGGCTATAGGTGTGAAGCTGGCCGTCCAATACTCCTGTTTTCCTTGGACAGATGGCAAGTTTAAGCGAGAAATCACGAGAATATTGAACGACTGATAATTCTCGCAGCAAAAGATCAGAAATTAAATAAAGAATGTAATGTCGAACGGTCATTTACTCCCATCGGTAAAGAAGAGTGTATTAGAAAATGCAAAATTTCGAATCTTCACTAGAGGACGTAAAAAAGGCGATAAATTTATAGAAAACTTTACGTGTAGGAAATGTCGTGAAGCATTCTGGGAGTTAGTGGCAGCACCAACCATATCAGAAGAGTCAACAAGATGATGGGTTGAGCTTGATTGGCTAAGAGTGAACCAAAGCGAGCCATAAGCTTGAAAAATTAACTGAGGTGTCATGATGGCAAAAGCCACCGGAATACACTGCAGTAGTTCCCATTAATAATCTGACAACAAAGGGAAGAAATAGCACCTCAACTCTCCACCACTGACGTAACACCTACTGGCACATCATTGGACATAATTATTTCCTATATAAAATACCGAGATAATACAAAATCCCAAATGTATAATTAAATCAATTATTTTAAAATAGGTTTCAATACTTTTTAAAAATTATGAGACGTAAGCCTTAAGATATCAGGCGCCAATGACATACTTTCACACAAATACTTGGCCCATCCTAACAATCAGTATCTCTATAATTATATAAAGTCTTTGAGGGAGTGAAAGTATATATATATATATATATATATATATATATATATACAGTATATATATATATATATATATATATATATATATATATATATATATATATATATATATATATATATATATATATATATATATATATATTATTTTTATTTTCATTTTCTTAAGACAACTGTGGAATAAGACCTAGTCCATCACAACTGACACTAAGCAAAGTAATGAAATATAATAGATCATAGAAAAGTATAATGAATGGCCAACTGTGAGTTATTTTCACCTAGTACGAAAATAACCCTCACTAGAATGACATAAATACAAGAACTTACGCATAATTGTATATGCTAGTCTTATGCTTAACTGGTTGATGCTCAATAGATACGATATTAAATTATAAACAGGCCTCCATCAATAAGGTGGAGAAGGATGTTCCAGTGCGCCCAAATTCCCAGAATACTTCATATTCGATCACCGCCAGTCCAAAGGCTGATGGTCGCCATGCCCACCTCAACCTTCTGCTGACTAGTGAAAATATTAAAACCTATTCATAAATGCCACAAAATTATTCAATTTATAGATGAATGAAATTTTTTTAAGAGTTCCTGTGTTTATAAGATGCTTGAGAGGAATATTTAAGAAAGCATTTAAAACACTGAGGAGGGAATGGAAGTTTCGTACCAACTGGGCATGGGGCAGGCCAGAGATACTACCCCCAATATTTACCTTTCGACGCTTCTGAAATGAGGTCAGAGAAGTATTCCAGTTGTATTAATTGTTCTCATATCATGCTGCATAATATTTTACAGTCAAAGAGTAAAACATCAGGGGACTACGACACTACATAAAATAAAAATAACAGGATTAATATCAACAAGCTGAGATTGTTGTTGTCATGATACCACGAACATAGAACAAAAATATTTTGTAATCTATAAAATCCGTTTGATCAATAATATTTACAAGTCAAAAATTTGCATTCTGAAGACAGTGATGAATCGTGAAGGAAACTTGTGCTTTCTTTACTTACTGTACCGTCTCCAAGCTACTGTAGCCTCCACCTGTGTCACTCTGTTGTACTCCACTACCTGTGTGTGTTACTCCACTGTACTCCACTACCTGTGTGTGTTACTCCACTGTACTCCACTACCTGTGTGTGTTACTCCACTGTACTCCACTACCTGTGTGTGTTACTCCACTGTACTCCACTACCTGTGTGTGTGCCACTCACTGTACTCCACTACTCCACTGTGTGTGTGTTACTCCACTGTACTCCACTACCTGTGTGTGTTACTCCACTGTACTCCACTACTGTGTGTGTTACTCCACTGCACTCCACTACCTGTGTGTGTTACTCCACTGTACTCCACTACCTGTGTGTGTTACTCCACTGTACTCCACTACCTGTGTGTGTTACTCCACTGTACTCCACTACCTGTGTGTGTTACTCCGCTGTACTCCACTACCTGTGTGTGTTACTCCACTGTACTCCACTACCTGTGTGTGTTACTCCACTGTACTCCACTACCTGTGTGTGTGCTACTCCGCTGTACTCCACTACCTCTGTGTGTCACTCTGCTGTACTCCACTACCTCTGTGTGTCACTCTGCTGTACTCCACTACTTGTGTGTGTCACTCCACTGTACTCCACTACTTGCGTCTTGTGTTAGGCCTCCCCGCGTCTGCCGCAGTACATAACACGAGTTTATAATACCTGTGAGAGCCTGACGGTGGGGCGGTACTGGAGGGCCTCCTTGCCGATAAGATCCTGAAGGTGCGGCACGTTGAGGCGAGGGGCGTCACTCTCCTCCCTGGCTGTACCACTTCCTGAGTCCAACTGCCCACTGCCACCTGTCGGCCGCGCCAAACACTACTGAAACACTCGTCTTTTCCGTTTGCCTTCATCTAGATATGCTCTCCATGTTAACTACGTATGATACAACTTGCAAATACATCAAAACAAATAGATAAACGACATCAATAATAAAATAATTAACGAGAACCAAGAAAACAAATATCTTGAGTGACGTATTAGTTGTGTTTTGGTACAGGGAAACGAAAACATTAGTTGGGCAAATAAAAGTTGTATGTTAGTTTTACGGCGCATCTTTACATGTATGGACGGATGGGGGCTAACAGCGGCAACAACTGGCAGTAAATAACAAACTTCAAACTTATCCTCTCAGCTTTTCGAAACTAACTGACCGGAAACATTTTGTCAGGAAACACCGAGATAAAGTAATATGTACAGTATATCCTCCTGGACATGGTGGAGAGAGAGAGAGAGAGAGAGAGAGAGAGAGAGAGAGAGAGAGAGAGAGAGAGAGTATTTATATGGTTGGTTATATCAGGTAAATAAGACTCTTTGATCTGGCCTACACCTTCGCTACCTGTAATTATATCATTTAACTATTTAATGCAGGAACTTAGGAAGACGCCAGGTAGTGTATATAATATGTTAGTGAATATCCTGACTTACCAGGTGGTGGAGAGGAAGTATCGTGGTCGTTGGCGTGATGGTGGTGAGAGGATAGGAAAGCGGCAAGCTGGTCCCGTGGCAGGCAAGTGAAGGCCAATTGGCTCAAGGGAGAGAACATGACTGCTGCCTCCGTTCGCTCCTCTTCACTCACCTGTCAGTAAACACCCGAGACAGTTATACAGGTATCTCAACTCTCACCTGTACAACTACGCTCGTCTTAAACCAAAACCCATTATCGTTTAAGAAAGGTTAGTATAACATCATTCTTGGCAGTCTGGAGGTGTGTTCAGTTTCATGTTTGGCTGGAGTATATGAACGGAGAAAATTCCTTAGTTGTTGTGAATGAGTTTGTGGATGATTATGAAGGGAGGAGAACGTGCCACCAGGCCAGTGTTAAGTGTGTGGCAGAAGTGTTGTGCTTTGGTGAGTCTTTTGTGTGGATGAGGTGGAGAGTAGTTTAGAAGGAGTGAGTCGAGTGTTGTGTCGAGAGTAACTTATATCAACAATATTTGGTCTACACAATTATCAATATGTAGCTTAGATCTTAACCCGTCTGCTTACTCCCCAGCAACCTGCCTGTCTTAGCGTACGGCGTAGTTCAAGTCTGTAGGACAAATGTACGCAGTGTGTGTGAGGGACGGAGAAGAAGCGACGTGTCCGGTACCATGATGAAGATAAGACACAGGGAGAGCTGTCCTCTAACTGATACACACTTGCACAATTCACAGAGGCGTCAACAGTAATTTTGTAGCTTCCTGCCACGTAAGGATTCCCCAGTGCCACAGAAACACGTTCACTGCTTAAGACACGGAGCTACGGTTATACACAAGGACAGACTGCCGCAGATAGGAAGTGTGGGCGACAGGCTCACTCCTCCTTTTGATGAATGTACAGATTTAAAACCATTTAAGACAATTGGCCTCCGGGTTACTGCCACGTCACGCGACAATTAACTCTTGGGTGGAAAATTGACACGCTCTAGAAGGCTCCCCCAGTCGCAGGCTGTGTCACGGGTGTAATATGTGGGCCGTGGTCCGTGTGTACTGTGTGGGCCGTGGTCCGTGTGGGCCGTGGTCCATGTATACTGTGTGGGCCGTGGTCCATGTATACTGTGTGGCCCGTGGTCTATGTATACTGTGTGGTCCATGTGTACTCTGTGACTCGTGGTCCATGTATACTGTGTGGCCCGTGGTCTATGTATACTATGTGGCCCGTGGTCCATGTATACTGTGTGGCCCGTGGTCCATGTATACTGTGTGTGGTCCATGTAAACTGTGTGACCTGTGGTCCATGTATACTGTGTGGCCCGTGGTCTATGTGTATACTATGTGGCCCGTGGTCCATGTATACTGTGTGGCCCGTGGTCCATGTATACTGTGTGGCTCGTGGTCCATGTATACTGTGGCTCTTGGTGCATGTGTACTGTGTGGCCCGTGGTCTATGTATATTGTGTGGCCCATGTGTACGGTCCATGCGGCCACACACACGGCCACCATAACTCACTAGGGTGGCTAATGCTCTTGACTCCAATAGGTAGAAGAATTAAACAAGACTAGGGTCAGAAAAAGCACAATACTGTACACAGCTTGGGAAGAAACAAACAATATTTTGACACTGCACGCCATGACCCGACACCATACTGGCTTACCACAGATACATAGATGGAAAATGTATATCAGAACAACTTTGTCATGACACTTCGCTACCTGATTGTGAAAAGGTATCAGTCTGGTACAGTTATAGTTCTACGTAACTCAAAGTAAGACTGACCTCGGTGCCGTTGATAACCCGGAGTCCCCAGTGAGATAACCTGAAGATGGCGTACAACCTCCAGTAGGTGGTCTGTGTGAGAGGGTTTCCCTCCCGCCCCACCTCCAGGGACGTTACCTGTTAACGTCACATAAAGTGGTCACCTTTAGAGATGTTGAGTGATGGCGGGAAAAACTATGAACATTTAAATAGGCATTGTAAAATTTGGGTAACATGTACAGTGTTATGCAAGTTCCAGTTTATTGGTAACAGTACACACTTTGCAAACTAAATCTCTCTTATACGGACGATAAATATTTGCTTACTTGGTGGAGCTCCGCCAGAGCATTAAGTTGGCTACACTTGGCCAGGTGAGTTTCCACAAAGACAAAGTTCTCCAGCCGTGGGAACTTTACCCGTAGTTTGGGGAAGATGTCGACAATATCCTCGAAATTCATGTATTGGAAGCGCGCCGTGGTGGCCCCTGTGGCCATAGATTTGTCCCAAGAGATCTCGGTACAGCGTAGAGCGCCCTGCCCGTACAGACTCAGCCGGTCTCCCTCCAGCTCGGCTAGGAAGTTTGGTCCCTGTTCGCGAAGGATTCCTGAGGTATTCTGGTTAACTGTCGACACTGGCTTCTCTCCCCTCTCACAGGCAGGTCGTTCCGGGTCTTTGGGTCTAGCTAGTGGTACCCTCAGGTCAGCCAGGTTGTGATGGGGGCGAGTATGTGTGGGCTGATAGTTGACCTCGACGGAACTGGTAGGGGTGGCGGCCGTGTTGGTCGTGGTGGCAGTGGTAGCAGACTCCGCGTCCGAGCTGGAGTCAATTTCAGAAGGTTCGGAGACGGCGTTCCTAGGCGAAACAGGCGGCTCTGGACCCTGAATAGGAAGACTAAGGTTGGACCTAACCCGCGTGATGGCGGCGGTCACCACTTTGTCAGGGAGATGACCCGTGCCCTTTAACTGCTCCGTTTTCTTCAACAATTCGGAGTTCTTTGGAGTTGAGCGTTTAGCATTTTCGTTAGCTATAATTCGTGGCCTCGCCTTGTCAGTAGCGCTGCCGTGAGCACTCCCGAGTCTGACTCCTCCTCGACGGACTACAGGAACGCTCTTGACGGGTAGTGTGGCCCTCGACGCCATGTCCAGACTGATCTTCTCGCTCACCTTCCCTGCCCCTCCCCACACCTCACCGTTTGGGTTACGAACTGACTTAGGTCTTAAAGGGCGATCACCCTCACATGAATTTTTTCTTCTCAATACTCTCATATCTGTGTATGATTTACTTCTTGGTAAATTATTTTTATTATCTGCATTCCTCGGACTATTCATTTTGAACTGTTTTATTGCCTGTATGGTATTAGTCACTGCACTCACTGTAACATTTTCCCTCATTGACTGTATATCAGAAGAACTCAGTCTCCGCTCAGTGGCTTTGTGAATTAAACTGACGTCGGAAATACCACTGGACGTGACAGAGGACACCAGCGAGGCTCGGTCGTCCTCCTGATGCCCTTCTGTCTCCTCTCCTTCAACCTTCCCCTCCTTACCATCTTCACTAGTCACTGTCACTCCTAACTCTTCCTTGTCCACCACCTCCTCCTCCTCCTCCTCCTCTCCAACATCGGACACGGTGTCACCACAGAATCCGCTCGACATCTCCGTGGCGTCACTGCCCTTGGAAGGGGGGTGGTCGCTGGTGCCTGTGGGAGAGTCTGCGATTAGATTTTATGTTTTTTTAGATATAAGGCTCCAACCATAGACAGATGTCCTTACCGAGGTCAGATTTAGGGACACCCGTCATGCGATACCTTCCATAAACTGACGTACAGCAAAACACTTAACTACAAGATATAAATAAAAGACAAACACTCAAGTTTGATTAAAATTATATGTATATATATATATATATATATATATATATATATATATATATATATATATATATATATATATGTATATATATATATATATATACATGCAACTATTTAACACTCCATTATATAACTGGTATATTATCCTCGGCTGAACATAATAGGATTAATGAAGAAAGATTTAAAAAGAGAGAATAACAAGAAACAGCTAAATAATGATACAAAGAACAGTAAGAATTATAAAAGTTCCTGGCTGTGTGCTGTGGTTCAATCCTTCCATCAACACAACACCTTCAGGAGATACACACACTTACTGACGGAGCTCTCACTGGGTTTCCTAATCAACTTCCGGTGGTCTTTCTTCACCACCTGCCAGTGCTTCATGGCGTTGGTGATGGCAGAGTTACGCTTCTCTTCGTCACTAATACGAGTTGCCTGCGCCCGCTCCTTCTCCCTGGCCTTCTGCAGCTGCTTCTCCGACTGTCTCCGAGTCTCCATGGTGAGTTCTTGATCATCCAGCCTGTGACACACTTGGGTTACTTTGTTATTCATGGAAACCAATTCACGAATCATCACCCCATACCACATAAATCACCACCCCATACCACATAAATCACCACCCCATACCACATAAATCATCACCCCATACCACATAAATCACCACCCCATACCACATAAATCATCACCCCATACCACATAAATCACCTCACACACCACATAAATCACCTCACACACCACATAAATCACCTCACACACCACATAAATCACCTCACACATCACATAAATCGTCTCATCACCTCATCACCTCACATGAATCATCACCTTACACCTGCCACACAATCCACTAATTAATTATCAACAACTACAAATTCCTCCACCAGTGACAGACAGACAGGTATACAGTAAAGAGTTAAAGAGACAGACTCCTTATAAGAATTACAGTATCTCCTTCAGCCCCTCCTTCAGGTACCTCGAACATGTCCCCGTCTTCCTTGAGTATAAAGTATGTCTTAGAATTCTCGCCTCTCCTTGTGTCTTGGTTAAAATATTCACCTGTGTATACTTCCTCCTTACTCGTGGTGTCAGATTATTAAATATCCTCTCTCTAGAATTTTAGAATATTTACTTTAATAATATCGATTACCTGGACAAGCATTGAACTTTACGTGTGTGTGTGTGTAAGTCTGTGTGTGTCTGTGTGTGTGTGTGTAGGTTATCACATTCACATTGGCCCTTCCTCTGACTCACATCCTGTTAACCTTCTTTATCAAGACCTCACCCGAAACCACCACCACCACCACACCACCACCACCCTGACCTCACACCTCCAAACTATTTCTTATTTTTTCAGTCTTTAACCACGCAAGTCTGACCCCTTGGTTCTCTCTCTCTTTCTCATGAACTAGACTCAAAACATTTTCACTTCACCGCTATTTATCCTACTAATGGGTTATCTTATACTTGCTGTAGTTGTATAAATATAACCGGTAGTTAGGAGCTTTGCAACACCTCTTCCCTCGCCTTGCCTCTCACCTCTCGCCTCGCCTTGCTCCTCACCTCGCCTGCCTCACCCCTCCCCGGCTTATCCTCTCCCTCACTTTTATCAATTTTGCTCGGTCTGACCTCCCTTGGTTTCAATTATGGCTGACATCAGGAGTGTACCTTGAGTACAGAGGACACCTGGGAGTGTCAGAGATGTACCTGGGAGAGTGTTTGAGGCGTACTCAGTGTAAGAAGGTACCTGGGAGTGTCTGGAGGTGTACCTGGGAGTGTCGTAGGTGTGCCCTGGCAGTGTCAGGCGGTACCTGGGAGGTCAGATGTGTACCTGAGAATGTCAGTGTAGTACCTGGGAGTGCAAAGGTGTACCTGGGAGTTAAGGTGTACCTGGGACCTGTTGCTGTGTACCTGGGGAGTGTCAGAGGTGCCTGGGAGTGTCGAGGCACTTGGGAGTGTCAGAGATGTACCTGGGAGTGTCGGAGGTACCTGGGAGTGTGGAGACAGCCTGGGAGTGTCAGAGGTGTACCTGGGAGGTTGATGGTGTACCTGGGAGGTCAGGAGGTGCCCTGGTGTCGGAGGTGCACCCGGGAGTGTCAGAGGTGTACCTTGAGTGTCTGAGGTGTACCTGGGAGGTCTGGAGGTGTACCTGGCAGTGTCTGAGGTGTACCTGGGGTGCTTGGAGGTGTACCTGCAGGTCATGGTGTACCTGGGAGTCTGGGGCGGTACCTGGGAGGTTGGTGTACCACGGAGTGTCAGAGGTGTACTTGGGAGGTCAGAGGTACCTGGAGTGTCGGAAGGTACCTGGAGTGTGGTGTGCACCTGGGAGGCCTGGGGTACCTGGGAGTGTCAGGAGGTGTATCTGGGAGCGTTGGAGGTGCACCTGGGAGGTCAGAGGTGTATCTGTGAGTGTCGATGTACTTGGGAGTGTAAGAAGTGTACCTGGGAGTGTCGGAGGTGTACCTGGGAGTGTCAGCGGTGTACCTGGAGTGCTGGAGGTACCTGAGGTCAAAGGTACCTGGGAGTGTCAGAGGTGGCACCTGGAGTGTCAGAGGTGTACCTGGGAGTGTCAGAGGTGTACCTGGGAGTGTCAGAGGTGCACCTGGGAGCATCGGAGTTGTACCTGGGAGTGTCGGAGGCGTGAACTGGGAGTGTCAGAGGTGTACCTGGGAGCATTAGAGGTGTACCTGGGACATCGGAGGTGTACCTGGAATATCGGAGGTGTACCAGGAGTGTCAGAGGTGTACCTGGAGTCTCAGAGGTGAACCAGGGAGTGTCAGAGGAATACCTGGGAGTGTCAGAGGTGTACCTGGAGCATCAGAGGTGTACCTGGGAGGTCAGAGGTGTACCTGGGAGTGTCAGGGGTGTAACTGGGAGTGTAGGAGGTAACTGGGAATGTCAGAGGTGTGGGAGTATCAGTGGAGTACCTGGAGTCTCAAAGGTGTACCTGGCATCTGAGGTACCTTGGAATATCGGAGGTTTACTGGAATATCGGAGGGGTACCCCAGGAGTGTCAGAGGTGTACCTGGCAGCAGAGGTGCACCTGGGAGGTGTTAGAGGTGTAATGAGAGGCACAGAGGTTTACCCTAGGAGCATCGGGAGGCTACCTGGGAGTGTCGGAGTTGTACCTGGGAGTGTTGGAGGCGGACCTGGGAGGTCAGGAGGTGTACCTGGAGAGTATCAGAGGTGTACCTGAGTGTCAGAGATGTACCTGGAGTTTCAGAGGATATACCAGGAGTGTCAGTGAAGCACCTGGGAGTCTCAAAGGTGTACCTGGGAGTATCTGAGGTGTACCTGGGAATATCGGAGGTGTACCTGGGAATATCGGAGGTGTACCAGGAGTGTCAGAGGTGTACCTGGGAGTCTCAGAGGTGAACCAGGAGTGTCAGGAGGAGCACCTTGAGTGTCAGGAGGTGTTCCTGGGAGTACCGGAGGTGTACTGGGAGTACGGAGGTGTACCTGGGAGTGTCAGAGGTGACCTGGGAGCATCAGAGGTGTACCTGGAGGTCAGAGGTGTACTTGGGAGTATCAGGGTGTAACTGGGAGTCTCGGAGGTAACTGAAATGTCAGAGGTGTACCAGGGAGTGTCAGTGGAGTACCTGGGAGTCTCAAAGGTACCTGGGAGTATCAGTAGTGTACTCAGATACTGGAGGTGTACCTGGGAATATCGGAGGTGTACCTGGGAGTGCCAGAGGTGTACCTGGGAGTGCTTGGAGGTACCTGGGAGTGTCACAGGAGTACCTGGGATTGTCAGAGGTGTACCTGGCAGTGTCAGAGGTGTAACAGGAATGTCAGTGTGGAGTACTTGGGAGGTCAGAGGTGTACCTGGGAGGCCAGAGGTGTACCTTGGAGTGTCAGAGGTGTACCTGGGAGTGTCAGAGGTGTCCTGGGAGTGTCGGAGGTGTACCTGGGAGTGTGAGAAGGTATTCTAGTGTCGAGGTGTACCTGGGAGTGTCGGAGGTGTACCTGGCAGTGTCAGAGGTGTACCTGGGAGGTCAGAGGTGTACCGGAGAATGTCAATGGAGTACCTGGGAGTGTCAAAGGTGTACCTGGGAGTGTCAGGAGGCCTGGGAGTGTCAGAGGTGTACGTGGGAGTGTCTAAGGTGTACCTGGGAGTGTCAGAGGTGTACCTGGGAGTGTCTGAAGTGTACCTGAGTGTCAGAGGTGCACCTATGAGTGTCTGAGGTGTACCTGGCAGTGTCTGAGGTGTACCTGGCAGTGTCTGGGGTGTAACTGGCAGTGTCAGCGGTGTACCTGGGAGGTAAGGCACCTGGGAGGAGGTATCAGGAGTGACAGAGGATTACCTAGAGGTCAGAGGTGTACCTGGGAGGCTTGAGGGACCTGGGAGTGTCAGAGGTGTACCTGGGAGTGTCAGAGGCACATGGGAGTGTCAGAGATGTACTTGGGAGTGTCGGAGGTGTACCTAGAGTGAGAAGTGCACCCAGGAGTGTTGGGAGCGTGTACCGGAGGTGAGAAGGTAACCTGGGAGTGTCTGGGGTGTACCTGGGAGTGTCAGAGGTGTACAGGGAATGTCACCATGTACCTGGGAGCAACAGAGGTGTACGGGAGTGTCAGAGGTGTACCTGGGAGTGTCAAAGGTGTACCTGGGAGGTCAGAGGTGTACCTGGTAGTGTCAGAGGTGTACGGGAGGTCAGAGGTGTACCTGGGAGGTCGGAGGTGTACCTGGGAGTACGGGATGGTACCTGGGAGTGTCGGAGTAGTGAACTGGGAGGCGATGTGTACCTGGGAGTATCAAAGGTGTACCTGGGAACATCGGAGGTGTACCAGGGAGTGTCAGAGGTGTACCTGGGAGTCCCCAGAGGTGAACCAGAGAGTGTCAGAGGAATACCTGGGAGTGTCAGAGGTACCTGGGAGTATCAGAGGTGTACCTGGGAGGCCAGAGGTGCAGCCTGGGAGTGTGAGAAGGTACCTAGGAGGTCAGAGCTGTACCTGGAGGTGAGAAGGTACCTGGGAGGTCTGGGGTGTACCTGGGAGGCCAGAGGTACCTGGGAGTGTCAGGGTGTACCTGGAAGTGTCGGAGGTACCCAGGAGTGAGGAGGTACCTGGGAGTGTCGGAGGTGTACCTGGGAGTGTTGGAGGTGTAACCTAGAGTGTCAGGAGGTACTTGGGAGTGTCAGAGGTACCTGAGTCTCAGAGGTGAACCAGGAGTGTCAGAGGAATACCTGGGAGGTCAGAGGTGTACCTGGGAGTATCAGAGGTACCTGGGAGTGTCAGGAGGTGTACCTGGGAGTGGAGAAGGCACTAGGAGTGTCAGAGCTGTACCGGAGTGTGAGAAGTGTACCTGGGAGTGTCTGGGGTGTACCTGGGAGGTCAGAGGTGTACCTGGGAGTGTCAGGGGTGTACCTGGAAGTAGCGGAGGTGTACCTGGCAGTGGGAGAAGGTACCTGGGAGGTCGAGGTACCTGGGAGTGTCGGAGGTGTACCCAGAGGTCAGAGGTGTACTTGGGAGTGTCAGAGGTGTACCTTGGAGTGTCAGGGTGTACCTGGAGTGTCTGAGGTGTA